CTGCTCTGGAGAGGGCCTGGGTCACTGGAGCTTCCTGGCTTTCACTCGAGCCAGTGTAGGCCTCTGCCTCAAAGGAGGAAGTAGAGAATTAGAAGATGACACTCAGTGACCTTTTCTTGACTCTATGGGGCAGTACACAGGCACACATACCAATGTCCATACATGTTTGCATACACACAAATAAAAATACATTACAATGAAACGTCTTTAATAAAATTCCTAGTTCACCTTTATTAAAAAAAAGCTACTAAGATTATTGTGTAATACAATATTAAGGTTATAAATGGTGTCTTAAAAGTAGCCATAATGATAATGTTAAAACACTTCAGGACATTGGGTTGTATATTTGAGTTTAGTGTGTCTGAAAGTATTCTGTTTATAAAATCCCTGTATATAGAAACAATGGAAAAACAAATTTGCTGCAACTGAAAGCCAGAGACCACCAGATCGATCAAAAATGACCATGCGAGACTTCATATATTACCTTCCAGACAACAACCCCATGACGTAAGTAAGATTCATTTATGCTTTGTTTCATTGGGTATGTAATGATATGCCACTTTTATCAGTACAGTTTCATGTTGTTCAGATGCTTGTTGAATAATTCATAGCATTTGTATTATCCTTTAAAGATAAAATTTCTAACAAAATGAGTATGGGTGCATTTAGGTCTAAGCCTGTGCCCTTCTCCTGTGCTGTACTCACAGCCGTCCTATGTCAAGTAACTGTTCTCTGAGATGATAATGATGTCCTTTATCTGCAAGAGTTAAAGGGGCTTCTTGTTGTAGTTATTGGGCTATAGTGTAATTTCTATTTCTTATGGACTATAATGTGATATAAAGGAATATAGTTTTATGCCCTATTTCATTGGTAATGGTGTAGTTTAAGTTCTTCATGAACAGAGCTTTAGTTCTTTAATTAAAGTTACCCTTGGTAGAAGGGAGAAGGCAGAAATCTTACAAATCTTCAGGATAGTCCTCTTTTGTGTTCACCAGGTCTTTGGCCATGTTGCAGAAGGCCTGGAGATGAGTCACCTAGCTTGCTTCATTTCCCAGGGCCGACAGTCTCTTCACTATGGAGTTGGGGGCAGGGGATATTTCTTATTTAGGTCCCAGCAGGTTATTAGTACTTGATGAGTTTTTGACTGAATAATTCTCCCTATTATTTGTTTTTGGCTGGTGTGTGCTAGGAATCGATCTCATTCTCAGCCTTCACTGAGCTAATTGTCACTGGCTGAGCATGAATGACAAAAAATGATTGTTGAACATTGTTAATGAAATATTATGTATATTGTATTAAGAATGGAAGCTAAGAGAATTTCCTTTTCTGGCTATGAAGAGAATTGCTAAAATATTAATTTATTAAAAAGGATTCTTTTATTTGTACTTAACAGTTCTTCAGTGGAACAAGAAAAGAAAACTGAGAAATCCTTGGCTCCCACCCCAACAAGAGAGTGAGCATCTTCTTATTCTCTTATCAGTGTGTGCTTTCCTCTTGTTGCTGTGCAATAAATCAGGTCCACAAAGGTGCCCACCACTGACTTACACCTAGCCCTGGACACACTTATAAAATGAAGTCTAATGGTTCTTCCCTTTTCCTTTTCTTTCTGTTCTGTTCTTTGTGTATTTGGTGTGCATGTTATGTCTTGTGCTTGTGTGTCTTGTAAGGATATGTGTCTGTTTTCCTCAGTTGTGTTTCACTTTATGTAATAATGCAAGGTCTCTTGTTGATTTTGTCTTGTGTGTCTAGTCAGCTTGTCTCTGAAATCCCTTGTCTATGCTTTTTGAGTGCGGGCTGCTAGTCCTGTCCATCTTTTACATGAGTTTTGAGGATTCAGACTCCATTCCTCACACTTGGTGGGTGAGCACTAGCCACTGAGCACCAACCCTTAAATGGAGCTTTGTGTACATTTGATTGCTTCTTAAAAATAGGATCATGTAAGAGTAGAAATCCTCAGGACAGCTGGGGCTACATAAAGAAAACCCTGTCTTGTAAAAGGAAGAGAAGCTTTAGCTGGGGATAGTAGTAACTCATGTGTTAATCTCGGTGCTTGAAAAGCTGAAGCCAGAGGATCCCAGGTTGAAAGTCAATCTTTACTACTAAGGTGTAAAATTATTCTTGGAGAGATGTGAATAAATATCTCCTCACCCCAGATAGGGGACTGGTGACAAACCATCAGTAAAGATACCACCAAAGTCCAACTTGGGACTTTTTAGTTTTTAATAGAGTTTTTTTTTTTTTTTTTTTTTTTTTTTCTGTGTAGCCCTGGTTGTCCTGTATCTTGCTCGGACTAGACTAGCATTGAACTCATAGAACTGACCTGCCTCTGCTCCTGAGTGCTGGGATTAAAGATGTGCACCACCACTATCCAGTGAAGCAATGAGTTTTATGGGTGTTAATTATCAAGAATATGAGTGAGGGGTTTCTTATAAGATCATAAATTGTCTCAAAGACAGCTATATCACCAAAGCCCACCCCAGCATGGACGATGGCTCCTGAAAGCTGGGAACCTAACATTCTTTACAACATGGAGGCAGTTCATCAGGCTGGAGATGGCCTTTCAGTAGTAGTCTTTACTGCTTCGGGTGGGAAGATTTAATTTATCTGGTCAGTTTTAGGGACTTCATGAAGCCTTTGAGTTGTTGGTTCTTGAGCTTTACAGACTTCTCTGTAGGAATATCCAGTATCTTAAGCTTCTCACTCAGAGAAGTTATATTTTGAGGAAACTGTCACACGAAAGCTATATAGGGACAATCTGCCTCAGAAACACACACATAGGTCTATAATGTTTGTGTAATATATATGTAATTGACTAATACTATGACTTACATTTACATATGTACATATGTCCCGTGCTTGGGTGTACATGGGAGTGTCATAGCTTGTGGGGGTCATAGGACAGACAGCCTGAGATCAGTTCTCTTCCAACATGTGGGTTCCATGTATTGAACACAGGTGTCAGGCTTGACAACAAATGCCTTTCTTTACCAGTTGATCCTTCTCACTGGCCTAATGAGTTTTAAATTAAAAATGTTAAAATTGAGGTTTTTGTTTTATTTTGAGACAGGCCTTGGCTGGTCTAGAACTTGCCGTGTAGATTAGGCTGAGCCTTCAGTTTACAGAGATTAGTCTCCTGTGGCTCATAGTATTAGGATTAAAAGCATGCGTTACTGTGCCCAGCAAATTGGAAGTTGTTTGTTGTCAAAAACAGTAGCTTTACATGGTAAAAAATTGAAAAAGAATGAAGGGAATTGAAAAAAGTCATTCCACCTTTGTTTCTTTGTGGTTTAAAAATCTGTGGTTCCCAACCCCTACTCCTAAGCAACAAATGTTACCAATTAAAACAACACTTCTTATATTACGTATGTTTACTGTGTGTATGCAGTGTGTGTTTGTATGTGTGTGGGCACATGCATGCCGTGGTGAGTGTGGAGGTGAGAAAACAGTCTGTGGCAGGCAGTGTGCATTCTGGAGGTTGCACACTGCTGCTGCCGTGCAGTCAGGTTGTCAGGTTTTGTGGCAAGAGCCATCTCAACTGCTCACCAACTTTTAAATAGAGCATTTCAGATTCATAATTTATGTGTGCTTCAGTAAGACATTAAAAGATAATGTAGAAAGAGTTGGATTAATTTTTTTAAAAAACTTAAGTTATAATGGATGGGAACAAGAAGTTCCGATGGACTTTCACACATGTGGCTGACTGACTACCTGAGAGCATCTGGGTGTGCATCTGTGTAATCCCAGCAATTGAGAAGCTGAGTTATGAGTACCAGGATATTTTGAGCTTCAAAGCAAGAGCCTGCCTCATAGATCAAAGAAGAAAAAACAAAACTAAAAAAAGATACGCTAGTTTACATATTTCAGAAAGCTAGAAAAGTAGATATTGTATGTTTTTATCATAAAGCATTGAGAAAAGACTGACAAGATAGAAATGTTTACCTAAGTTAAGCATACTATATTGAAGTATCATATAGTATTATTGTGCTCTACAGTTTTCATGTGTTTCTGTATGAGTTAAAAGATGGTTCAGCAGTTAAGAGGACCTGGGTTGGATTGCTAGTACTATGTGGTAACTCACAACCATCTGAAACTTCAATTTTTCTAGGCATTCACACTGTGCACATACACACATACAGGCAAAAAGCCATACACATAAAATAATAAAAATAAAAATAGCTTCCAAAAAGATAAGACAAGGAAAAACTTTGTTTGGCTGTAAGTTCTGTTCTTTCTGTTCCGCAGTCCAGGGGGAAGAGTCTCTTAATTTTAGGTAAGCACAACATTATTAACCCATAGGACTGTTCTGAAATAAAGTTAGGAAGGAAGTGTTAAGGGTTTTGTTAATTCTGTTGTAACTGTGGTTTACTAATGCTTTATTAAGGTAGAAAGGTAACATTTGTTTGTTTATTTTCTATTATCATTGGCCGCAAACCCAAGGTATGCTATAAACCACTGAGTTACATGGCTTACGGTACCATTGGTTTATTTTAAAAGAGAGTGAACATTTCTTATTGTTATTTTGTAAGATTCCTTATTAAATGTTACCAAATTACCAGGTGGTGATAGTGCATGTTTTTAATCCCAGCACTCAAGATGCTGAGGCAGGAGGAAAGCAGAGAGGTCTCTGTGAATTTGAGATTAGCCGAGTCTACAGAAAGAGTTCCAGGACAGCCAGGGCTACAACAGTGAATCCCTATCTTGAAAAAAAAAAGTTACCAGATAAAATTAGATAGAAATCTTATCTCCTCTGCCACCCCACCCAATGTATCCATCCATCCATTTATTTTGAGTCAAGGTCTTAAGGTAAAGTTCATAGTGGCCTAGAACTCTTGGTTCTCTTCACTGGTCTCCTTAGTGCCAAGATTACCTTGTGTTTCACCATGCTTGGCAGAGTAACTGTGTCATGTGGTATTTTCAGTTAAGTTATAGAGAAGTTTTGAAATAGCGGATGTTTGTTTTTTTTAATAACTTGTTTTGAGTTCATACTATTCAGGAAATACTGTTTTGTTGCTAAGGTAACTATGTTTCCATTTTAGTAGGCAAGAAAATCAGAGCACTCAAGATGCTAATGATAATGAAGAAGGGGAAGAGGAGGTAGATGATGGGCCACTTCTGGTTCCTCGAGTGAAAGTGGCAGAAGATGGCTCTATTATTTTAGATGAAGAAAGGTGAGTGAAGGAGATGGGGCGGGAGGGAGGGAGGGAGGGAGGGAGGTAGGTGAGGGTGAAGAACAAAGAGTCATGACTTTTTAACCAACCGCCGCTGAATATTTTAAGCAGAAATTGGACTAAATTAATTTGTAATTTTAGCATGTCTTGCATGAGATGTTATTCTTCTTCTCTCTTATCTGTCAACCAAACTTTGTTTACTCGTCACCTTGCTGCTAAGCCAGTCCAGCTGCTGAACAGCTGTGTGCTGTTACCCACTGAGGATGGATTTCTAGGCTTGATTCAGTCTTGAAGTTGGTATTTAGATTTTTTGTATTATTCATTAATTTTACTTTATTTTATTTTATTTTTTTTTAATTTTTGAGACAGGGTCTCTCATTGTGTAGTCCTGGCTGGCCTGAGACTTGCTTCATAGACCAAGGATCCACCTTTCTCTGCCTTCCAGTACTATTTCAAGTGTGTGTCATCATACCTTGTTCTAATTCGACTTTCGGTGGATGGTTGATCTCCAGGAACTTGAGTTACGTGTGGTTGTGAGCTGTCTGATGTGGGTGCTGGGAACTTAATTTGGGTCCTCTGGAAGAGCATTAAACACTGTTTTTGATTTTTGTTCCTTTTTTGGGGTGTGTGTGTATTTTGATTTTGTAATTTCTTAAGAGTTTCAAATTTCGTACATGTCGTATTTCCAGATCAACTTCCTTCCTTTTTTTAATTTAAAGCCTTCTAGACCAATGAGTGCTACCCAGATACTCTTGGATGTATGATATTTGAGCATGGTAACTTCCTAGGCGGGATTCTTAGAGAAAACTCGCTCTCCCTTTCCCAGTTATTGCTGCACACGTATGGGTGAGGTCTCATGTTTATCTCCCCTCTGCTTGCTGGGATTGGTCTAGCTTGGGCTTGTAAAGCTTGCGAGCATGCTGTAATGGTCACTGTGAACGTATATGTGCAGCTGCACCTTGCTATATGTCCTTGTAGTCATCCTGGCTCTTACGCTCTTTCCACCCTTTCTTCCAGCGTGATTCTTGAGCTGTGACAGGGGTATGTGTTATATATGTCCCACTGACGGCTGGATAGTGTGCCTTTCATTCTCTGCACTGTGGCCTTGTAGATCTCTGCTACTCTTCATCTACTGCAAATAGAAGTTGAGGGTTGAGAGTTGTATTGAGGTATAAGTCAAATAACGATGGCTGTAACACTAAGTCTTTAGGAACACCAAGCAGGTCTTAACTACTGACCAGTCTCTCTAGCTCTAAAGTGTACATTTTCTATGGGATCAGGAAACAGAGAAATGAAATGTTTTTGGAGTTTAATTAGTAAAAGTGTATATAAATTTAAATTTGACTATAATAGGTATAAATGCAGTGCTGATAAATATTTCTATGTGATGGTGATTTTACATGTCAGTAATAGTTAAAGAGATAGTAGCCCAGGAGGCATTTAGAAATCCACTGACCAAAACCAGGTGTGATGGTACATGCCTGCAGTCTTAGTACTTGGAAGTAGAGGTAGGTGACTAGGAATTCAAGACTGTCCTCTGCTAGATAGCAAGTTCCAGGCAAGCCTGACAACATAAAGCCTGGTCTGTAAAACAGACAGGCAGATAGACAAACAGACACACAAAAAAGACACTAGAACAGTTCCTTTAGGTAGTCCAAAGGTATTTTGAAAATGCTATGACTGAAAACAGGTTGGCATTCATTTCCGTACCTTAGAAATCACATTTGGAAAATATATTTTAAATTTATTATCCTTTTTCAAATATATATTGTATTCTCTATATTAACTGGTGTGTAAATTTTAAAATACAGTAATTAAACCTCATCTACCATTGTTTTTCATACTTGCCTTTTTAGTGTGACTATATTTGAAAATGTCTTTCTTTCAGTTTAACTGTAGAAGTTTTGAGAACAAAAGGCCCCTGTGTTGTTGAGGAGAATGATCCTATATTTGAGCGTGGCTCCACAACTACTTACTCCAGCTTTAGGAAAAACTACTACTCAAAGCCATGGTCCAATAAAGGTAACTAATTCTCATTAAAAGTTCTTTGCTGTTCTTTGTGAATGAGAGGAACTTTTATTTAAGCTTCCGACTTGTAAATAAAATGTAAACTGTCATGTTTTCTGCTCACTTAATTTTATTGGTCCCCCTTCCCCTACTATATATCTTTGACTTTCCACTAGAAATCATTAGCATTTTGATCTTTGTGCCTGGAATCTTTTTCAAACTATACCAAGAAACCTCTTTTAAGTGAATAATGGACAGTGTTTCTGTGTAAGCACTAACCATTTGTGCCAGTGGATCCTTGTGATTGTGGGATCTCATATCACCATAATCCTCGAAGATGTACAGGGTTCCCCCAGCAGTCATGATGCATGCCTAGAATGCAACAGTGAGGAGGCTTAGGCAGGGGAGCGGGGGAGTGGGAGGCCAGGCTGGGGTAAACACGAGAACAACAGAGTACACAGTACGTATTTCATGGTGTTCCTTACTGCTTACTTTTTAGCATAAATATAGTTTTTAAGCATGGCAGGATATAGGGCAAGAGGAATTTTTCAGTACTTCCCTCCTGTGACTGTTACCAACCTGGTTTTTAAAAATTTTTATTTATTTAAGGTAAATTTTGTTAGGCTTGTTACATTTTCCCTCACTTCCTCCTTCCCTTTCCCAATGTTATAAAACACTACGACCCCTTTAGTCCAGTGAACATTTTTCCAAGTGTCTGTCTGTCTCTTTCTTTCTCTCTTTCTCTTTCTCTCATTCTTTTCTGCTACTCAGTATTTTATTTCTTACAAGTGTCCAACACAAAAACCCCATCAATTCATATTTTACCAATTGTCTATAAAGTGTTCTTTTCTTATAGTTTTGCCTATAATATTATAAGTTTTACTAGCTTATAGAAATCTAATATTCTAAAATAATTCTTTAGATTACTATACATTTGCTTGTTAGCAATAAGATCCAGCATCTAGTATTTTCAGATTAAAATTTGCCTTAATATTTAAAACAATTTTAAATTTACATATATTTTGATCATAGTCTTCCTCCTAAATTTGTACAGATCTCTGCCTCCCTACTTACCCAAGTTCTTTTTTAAAAAACCAAAAAACCAAAAATCCAATAAAACAAAACTCCCAAAACCTACAAAGCAAAATACGACATCATCCAGAAAGAAAAAGAGCCCACCAAAACCTACCAAACTGCAACCAAGTGAAAGCACACATACACACAAACTGTGGGTCCATTATTTGTTGGTCAGTTACTCCTGAACATGAGATCTTCCTGGAATGGTTGATCTACCCAGTGTCGTTCCAGTGGAGAAAACTGGTTTTCCCTCTCCTAGCAAGTATAAATGACAGTTTGTTAACCTTTACCCAAGTAGCTATGTTTACATTCATTCATTTTTTTAAATATAATAAGAAAAAGCAAAAACTTTCACATCAAAGTTGAACAAGACAAACCCACATAAGGAAAAGAGACCAAGGGAGGGCACAAGTGTGAGAAACCCAGGCATCCCTTAAAACCACTAGAGGCAGAGCTGTAAGTGCAGGGACCTGGTGCAAACCTGTGCAGGCCCTGGCCATGCTGCCTCAGTATCTGTGAATTCATATGCGCCTTGCTTAGGTTAATTTAGAAGACCTTGTTTTCTCGCTGTCCTCTAACCCCTCTGGCTCTTACAGTCTTTCTTCTTCCTCTTCCAAGGGGTTCCCTGAACCCTGAGGGGGAGATTCGATGGAGACATCCCTTTTAGGGCTGAGTGTTCCACAGTCTCTAGTTCTGAGTATTGTCTGGCTGTGAGTCTCTGTATTTGTTCCCATCTGCTGCTGCTGATGACAGAGCAAGGAAACGATCAATGAGTACAGTAGAGTATCACTAGGAATCATTTGAGTACTATTTTTTTTTTCCTTTTAGACCAGTATTTGATTTTGCCCTAGGTCCCTGGGCTATCTATTCTTAGGTTCATGGTCATACAAACAGCGTTAGATATGGATTCCATCCCATGTGGGCCTTAAGTCAGATCAATTATTGTTTTGTTACTCTCTTCAAGTGTTTTTCATTGTGCTTCTGGTAGCTTTAGGAAGTTCTCCCAGGACTGGTCCTTCATTTCTGGCTAGCATTTACATGGTTTTATAAACTCTTTATTTCCGGAGACCTCTTTGTCTCATTTGGTTTAATGCCTGATTGGATGTGCCTCTGTCCCAGCAGGCACATATGATGATCAGGCTTGTGGGGCCACTTTGGAATGGGAGTGCAAACTTTTTAATTGTCTCCTGGGACACCTACTTTGCTTTCTTTGTTGTCCCTGTGAGGTGCAGAACAAGAGTCAGGGGGGATCAGTCCAGACTACATCGGATGTACTACATGGTGCGAGGCACTATGAGGAAATCTGGTCCTGTCAGGTGGAGTTCACAAGCTATGGCTCATATTCCATGATTGAGGCAGAACTCAGGCCTAGAAACTTGTACCACACATGTCAGGAGTCCTGGAACTCTTAGCAGTTCTTGTGACCATAGCCTCCTGAGTTCTGAGATTGTGGAGTGTATCACTGCAATTACCTGTGGGGATAGTTTGATGTTTTACTGAGTTTCTTTTCAATGAAATTAAGTACTCTATAACTTATTTTAACTAAGTTTTTAATATGTAATTGTATATAACTGAGTTATTTTTGTCTGAATGGAAAAATTAACTTTGTTATCTTTTATTTTTACAGAAACAGATATGTTTTTTTTAGCCATCAGCATGGTAGGAACTGACTTTTCTATGATTGGACAACTTTTTCCTCACAGAGCAAGGATAGAAATTAAGGTAAAGTATACCTATAACATTTATTGGTTAGAAAGACTAAAAACAATTACTAAGGTTTTTTCTTTTAACTTACTTTACAGTCATTTGTTCTCTATTGTATTTGTGTTTATGTGTGACACTGATTTTTGAATGGTTTCTCAATTTTAGTATAGTTATATCTCCTAAACTTTTACATGACTTTTAAAATGCATTTGAGAACTATGGATAAAGATACTGAAATTTAAGAGTTAATGAAAATAGAAGGAAGATGTATCAGAATACTTAGAGGTAGAGTAGCTTTATGACTATAAAGTCTCTGAGATTTTCTGGGATGATATGGAAAGTGCTGAGTGTGTGTTACTGAGCTGAGTATTGCTGTCTTAGTGAGTGACCACCAACATTGTGAACAGTGGAAGTGCTGTCAGGTACAAATGTACTGTGCCTGGGGGGATGAGCTTTGTGTGGTTGCTGAGAAACTGTATATACGCTTGCTGGTAGGAGTGTGTCTGGGTTCCCTCATTCTGTGTTACCATAGTGTATTCCCAGTTAACAATGGGAGATTCTCCCAATCATCTGTCTTTCCCTTAATTCCCCATCTCATCATGTTTGCCACATTAGTGATAACAACCAATCAGGAAGGTAAGAATTTGGGTGCCCTTAAAGTACACTAGACTTGATTGCCCAGGAACATTTTGTAGTGGCATCCTGTAGTGTGGTATCACAGCCTCACTGGATTTCTGTTAAGAGGTGAGAAGCTTGCTTGTTTATGTGTGTGTGTATGTATATATGTATGTATGTATTTTTGTTTTGAGACAGAATTTCTCTTGTCACTCTGGGTGTCTTCAAACATAGAGATTCACCTGCCTCTGAGTGCTGGGATTGAAGGCATGCTCTACCAGGCCTGGCTCCTGCTTGTATTCTTTATGTTCTAATGTTGATCTTGGTTAAAAAGATCACAATATTAAAGTTTTATGAAGGCGAAAATTTGATTAGAGGTAGAGCTTCTCCAATAATCTGATTAATTAATAGTGTTTGCCACTTGCTTATTTCTTTCAGAAAACATTTAGGTTCTTCCCTTAAAAGGTTAGTGTAATTCCAGCAGGTCTTTGGGTGAAGTGTACAGAAGTGAAAATGCTCTGTTTCTAAGACTAGTGAAGTACATCTTGTTGATTCCTTCATGTTGAAGTAACCTTAATGTCAATGGAACCGATTCCATGTGGTTATACTATATTCCATTTATGTATTGCAGAGATTTGCTACATTTTCTTTCTTTTTTAAAAACCTTTAAAAATTATTATAATTTTAAAAATTTATTTATGTATGTCACTGTCTTCAGCCACACCAGAAAAGGGCAACAAAACCCATTACAAATGGTTATGAACCACCATGAGATTGCTGGGAATTGAACTCAGGACCTCTGGAATAGCACTCAGTGCTCTTAACCGCTGAGCCATCTCTCCAGCCCTAAACATTATTTTTATTTTATGTGTATGGGTATTTGCCTGCATGTATACCTGTGTGCCTAGTGTCTTTGGAAACCAGCTAGGGCTGGAGTGGGGAGCCACCGTGTGGGTGGTGGAGATTGATCCAGGTCCTCTGGAAGAGCGGCCAGTGCTACTGTTGATCCTTTGGCCCTCTCCCAAGCCTCCATATTACATTGTTTTGAAGAATTTTTACCACTTCATTCAGGAGCCATATTGGTTTGCATTTTTCTTTTTTCTCTTCTTGAGTGCTGGTACTGAGTTTGTGTTTTATCACCAAGCTCTATCACTTGTCCCTGTAATAGTCTTTCCGAGTTCTCGTGCTGTTTGATAGTGTTTGCTGCAGTGATCAGGGACGTGCGCCGCTTGCTTATTCTGGAACAATTTAAGATTAGCACTGTTTCTCCTTCAGTGTTTGATGGGACTTAACAGTGAAGCCAGAATCTGATTTATTTATTTATTTTTTTATTTTTAATGGTGAAAGTGTTTAGATTATAATTCTTCATACCTGCAAAGATGTTCAGGTTTTTAGTTTTAGTTAAGCCTGCAGTCCCCGCTTCTAGTGAGGCTGAGGCTGGAGGATCACTGCAGCCTAAGAATTTAAGCCAGGCTGAACAACACAGACCCTACACAGGTCCTTTTCCTCCACAAATAAAGATGCTTGTGTTTCTGGGCAATGGTGGCAAACACCTTTAATCCCAGCACTTGGGAGGTAGAGGCAGGGGGTCTCTGAGTTTGAGGCTGGCCTGGTCTGTGGAGTACAGAAAGACTAGGACAGCTAGGGCTGTTAGAAAAACCATGGTTTGTTTTGGTGGAGAGGGGAAGGTAAAGGATTCTTGTGAAAATTTTGATGCTGGATTATAGAGGTCATATCTATAAAAGCTTTCTTACTGTTGTCATTTAACATTTGTAGGATTTGTAGTGATAACCCTCTTTGATTTATTTTTCTATTTCCTCTGCCACTGATCTATCCTCTTTAAATTTGTCTTTGTTTAGGATGTTTTGAGACAGGGCTTCATTTTGTAACCCAGGGTGGCTTCCAAATTTGATCCTTCTCACTTAGCTGATAATCCTTCTCTAAGGGCTTATAATTTTAAAAATGTCCTTTGTAGTAGTGTAGATGTGGTGGTACGTGCCTGTCATTCTAGTATTCAAGAGTAGACAGGAGAACAGTGAGCTTAAGGCCTGCTTTGGGCGCATGAAATCCTGCCCTAAAAGACGACAAATAAATAAACAAAACTTAGAAAACATGTCTGGGGCCATGACTTAGCTAGTAAAGCTCATGTCTTGCAAGCGTGCAGATCCGAGTTTGACTCCTGAGCATCCATGTAGGATGTGGGGCATGGTGATACATGCCTGTAATCCCAAAACTCAAGAGTAGTCAGAAAGATTAGAAATTAATGGTGATTTTTGAGTTAAATAGTGTACTTTAGGCCACACTAGAGTACATTAGTCCTTGTCTCCAAAAAAAATTCTGTCTTTTATAATGTATATAGGTTTTTAAAAATCTACTTTAGCTAGGGATCTTCATACTTCAGCCTCTGTTCTAGCCCACTGAAGGAGAGAAAGATGGTTCATAAGAATAAGGGAGATATAAACCTGTTTAGAAGTAATTCTTTGGGGCAATTCCAATCTTTGTTGTCAGGATACTAGCAGTAGTCCAGTCTAAAGTACCAAACATGAATCAGTAGCAATAGTCTAGTCCAATCAGCAAACACCAAACTCAAATCAGTAGCAGTGACTTGATCCAGAGAAAACCGTGAGGCTTGGCCAAAAGGGTCAAGAGGCAGCTGGAATACCACAAGAAGGTCTTTGGTACATTTCTCTCTATGAAGTCATAACAAGCAAAGATTAGTGAAGACCAGCAAAGCATTGCAAGGTGTACCAATGCCAGTGCATGGTTCACTGTATGTTGGGTTCTATTTATACTCTTTCCAAAACATCACATGTCCTTTTAAGCGTCTGTTTAAGCAAAATGTCCTCTTGAGGAAAACATCTTCTCACATGTCTCCTCCAGCAAAACATCCTCCCGTGTGCCATCTTCTTGAAAAATAACACATGACACAACTGAGTCTCTAAAGAAACCAGAAATTTATATATATAAAATTTGGAATTATATATAAATGAGATAAACTTGGGTTTAAAATTTTTCCTAATTACAGACTCTCCTCTATTACACTAAAAAGCATTTTGGAATAATAATATAAAATGTCTAGCGTTAGGAGTATTTTAGGTTGGATAAAATTAGTGTTGGCCTAATTGACTAGGTTTATCAGATTTTTTTTGTGGTAGTCAACTGTTGTTTTTATTTAAAATCTATTTAGCATGTGTGCATGTGTGTCTTGAGTATGTGTATAGTCCCACTTATTCCTAGTGAGTATATGCAAGTGATAGGCTCACTCATGGCAGTTGGTTCTTTCCACCTTTAGATCAGTTCTGGATATTGACATGAAGCTGTCAAGCTTGGCCCACGGTTACTTTCTGTGTGCCATAAATCTAGCTTTATTGTTTTATTTCTGTTGTTGATAGTAAAGATAAGTATAGGAAAATTTGTATGAATCTTTCATCTTTATTACAAAAAGGTTTATAAATTATGTTTATTTAGAGTATGTGTCTGTGTTTGAGTCTGTATGTTTGCCTAGGGTGTGCACATGTTCATTTGAAGATCAGAAGATAGCTTCTGGGTATCTTAGTTCCTCCTTCTCCCATGTGGGTTCTGAGAATCAGATGAAGGTTGTCCTTTACCTGCTGACCAGTCTCACTAGCTCCTCAATCCTCATTAAATTTTTTAAACATTATTTTATATGTAGTGGTGTTTTGCCTGTGTCTATGTATGTGTCACATGTGCGCAGTGAGGAGTCCAGAAGAGAGCATTACTTCTCTGAATTGGAGTTATAGGTGGTTGTGAGCCACTAAGTGGCTGCTAGATATTGAACATAGGTCCTTGAAAGAACAGCCAGCGCTCTTACCCATTGAGCCCTTTCTCTAGCCCTCAATCCTCATTGTTAAGTAACTAAAGCTTTAAAAAACTTAGCCTGTTGGCTAGGCTATACCATTTAATAAGGAATAGTATGTTTCATAGAGTTTCACATTAATGCTTACTAATTAGAAATATTCCTTGTGTAATGGCAGAACATTACTATAGATCTTTTTGTTGTTAACAGAATAAATTTAAGCGTGAAGAAAAAACAAATGGATGGAGAATAGACAAAGCATTCCGTAAGTATTAAAGCATTCCTTCACAAAGTATGATTCATAGAGATTGAGAAATGACCAACACTTTGTCTTTGCCTCTAGTGTGTTTAGATTCATTCTCATATTGTCATTAAAAATAAGAATGGAAGCTTTTCTATTTTGCTTTTTTAAGATAAGGTCTTGCTGTATATTCCAGGCCAGTCAGGAACTTTTGATCCTTTTGCCTTAGCCTCCAAGTGCTAGCTTTACACCTGTGCACCATTGTGTCTGAGGTTTTTTGTTTGTTTTGTTTTGTTTTTGAGACAGTGTCACACTGTGTATCTCTGTTGTTTTGGAACTCACTATGTAGAGCAGGCTGGCTCAAACTCACATATCAGTCTATCTTCCAAGTGCTGGGTGTTTGTTTCTCAGTTTTTTATTTAACAGTATGAGTTTGGTAGTTGCTGCAAATCTTTAAGCAAAGAATTGGCCCAAATATCCAGAAGCTGGTAAGCTCATGAGTCTCTATGGTAATCGATGCTGATTACTTTGTGTCCGTGCATATATGACTGTGCGTGAGTGTGTGGCTCAGAGGACAGCTTGCAGAAGTTGCCCTTCTTCCCTCATGTGGGTCTGGGCTAAATTTGGGCTGCCAGGCTTGCTAGTAAGTGCCTTTATGAGCTGAGTCATCTCACTGGCCTCTGAGTGGTTTTTATTGGGAAGGAACTATGTTCAAGAGACAGTTTATGGAAAATAGATTGCCATAGTTGATTCCTTTAGTTGGCAGCCAGTCATTGAGTCACAGCACCTATTACCTGTGTACTCTGGTTGCTCTTGAAGATGTGCTGGTGAATAAGGCAGGTGAGAGTCTGCTTGGACAGGCCTGAATTTAAATGGATGAGGGATATTGATAAGCAAATATCAGGTAGTGATTGAGTTCTTAGGAGGAAGAAAAAGGAATTAGGCCTCATTGCTTATATTATCCTCAGTGAAGTTCTTTATGAACAGGTAACATTTTAATTTCGATCTGATTTAAAAGAACAATAGGAAACTTGTAGCTTCTAAATAATACCTTCATTACAATTAATTTTTTTGTAAGTCTACAGAAAGACTACAAAAGATCTGTAAATAAAAACAAAAAATTTATTTAAAATAGCTTAAAATAGTTTTTTTTTGGTTTTGGAAGGTTTTTATGAATAAATAATTATCAGCTTTTCATAATATATCTGTTTATTTAGTTATGAAATTAGCTGAAGTGCAAAATTTTTTTATTTCTAAATAAAATTTAATATAAATTTCTTTTAGAGACAGGGTCTCGCTGTTTATCTCTGGCTGTCCTGGAACTCTCTACATAGACCAGGATGGACTCAAATTCATGAGATCCACCTGCTTCTCAGATGCTAGGGTTAAAGTTGTACATCACCATGCTTGTCTAAAAAAATTTTTTTAAGGTTGTTTTGTGTGTACATGTTGAGTACCTGCATATATGTGTGTGTGCCATGTGTGCCCACAGTGGACGGAAAAGTGTATTGAATCCTCTGGAACTGAAGTTGTGAGCTGCTATGTGGGTTCTGGGAATTTAACCCATCCCTCACCAAGGGCAGTGAGTACGCTTAACTGCCAAGGCATTTCTTAAGGTCCAAAATAAAAATGTCCCCACCTTTCTATTCTCTTTATGTAGCCCTGGCTTGCTTGGAACTCAGCTTGTAGACTGCACTGGCCTCAAACTCACAGAGATTCATTTGCCTCTGCCTCCTGAGTGCTGGGGTTAAAGGTGTACACCCTCATCCCCTGCTCAAAATAAAGTTTCTTAATTAAAGTTAGCCCCAGGGCTGATTTTAGGGGGAACTAATTCATGTGTGGTTCAGAGAGTATCCACTGTATAGCACATGGGTTTATTTTCTGAGTAGACACTGTGGTAGATGAGTATGGGTCTGATGCCCAGTGTTTCATTGTGTCTTCAGGGCAAGTGTTCCAAGTTCCTGAAAGATCTGGAATATTGTAGATAGGGGAGCTTTTCCATTTTAAAATTGGAGAAACTTTCCACTGGGCTTAATAATATATAGAGCTCATTATTTTGTTTTTCTTTCTGTATTATCATTTGAAGTAGGAAATTAAAGAATTAAAGAAAAGCTTTGGTAGCTTTTATAAAAAGATTTATGTGTATGAATGTACACATACATGTATATTCACTATTTACATGTATTGTATCCTCGAAGGTCAGGAGTGAGCGTTGTGGTCTTTGAAACTGGAGTTATGGATGCTTATGACCCACCTGTGAGTGCTGGGAATTGAACCTGCATCCTCTGCAAGAGCGTAAATACTCTAAACCTCTGAGCCATCTCTCCAGCTTCCCTCGGGTCCTGTATTTTTAAGTCCTCTAGAACCACTTAAAAATTGTTTATTGGTTCTCTGAGTACTAGTTCATCGTCGTATAGAGTCAGAACAGATTACTGTTTAATATGTACCTCTTTCTGAGGCAGTTTTGTCATCTTTCTGTACATTCACCAGAATTTAAATGGAACGTTTAAGGAAGGATTGCTTTGTAGATATGTTCCTGGTTGGTTTATTAATTGTTCTCTCTAATGTTGTACAGTTGACAGTGGCAGTATTTTTAATTTCATTGGACTGTTTTACATTTTATATTTACTTCCTATTTTATTGATGCTTAGAATACATAGTGAAGTGTTTATAGGGCTGGAGAGATGGTTCAGCGGTTAAGAGCACTGTCTAGTCTTCCAGAGGTCATGAGTTCAATTCCCCATAACCACATGGTGGCTCACAACCATCTATAATGTTGCAGCAGTTGGAATATAAAGAGTGCATGTTGTAATTATAAGGCATTTGGAGGATGTGTTAGCTTTCTACAGTTATGTTTGGGGCTGAAAATTGAACCCAGGTTCTTGTGCCATTTAGTGCATGTGCTCTATTATTGAACTACCTCCTGGCCCTATATTTGCCACTTGATGTAATTGATACACATAGTGCAAAGTGTAATTTTAATATTAACAAAAAAAAAACCCCTAATAACCAGCACCCTGTTACACATAGACTGTTTGATCAGTTGAGAAGCTCCTTTGTTCCCTTCCTTTGGTAGCCCCAAGGAAACTGCTATTTCCATTTGAGTTACCATGGACTAGTTTAGCATGTTTTAAATCATCTAATTCATTGAATGAATAATGTAATACTTGATGTCTGGTTTCTTTTACTTTTATTTTTACAATTTGTTCATTTTATTGCTTATTTCAGTAGTTTGATCCATTTGTTAGGTTGGTTCAAAAGTAATTTTAGCTTTTTGCATTATAGAAATTATTTTATTTTGATTACATTCTTAAATAAGGTTACATTATGTTATTTTAATGCATATTTCTCACTTTATAATCTTGTACTAATGACTTATTACCTGTTTATAATGAAAATCACATTAGACAAAAAGCAAATTCAAGATACTCTTTTAAATTTTTTCAAGATTTTATTTTTTATATTCCTGAATGTTTATCTGTGCAGTCTGTACAGAGAACAGAAGTGGCTGTCAGATTCCCTGAAACTGGAGTTAGTTACACTTGGTTGTGAGCTACTCGGTAGATGTTGGATTTAACCTTCAAGGATCAGTGTCTTGGTTAGGGTTACCGTTGCTGTGATGAAATACCATGCCCAAAGCTACTTTGGGAGGAAAGAAAGGTTTATTGGCTGTGCTTCTGTATTACTGGTCATCACTGAAGGAAGTCAGGATGGGTTCTCAGAGGGCAGGTACCTGGAGGCAAGAGCTGATGCAGACGTCTTGGAGGAGTGCTGCTTACTGGCTTGCTCTTCATGGTTTGCTCCTACTGCTTTTTTATAGAACCCAGAACCACCAGCCCATAGGTGTGCTCACCCACAGTGGGCTGGACCCTTCCCCATCACTCGCTAATTAAGAACACAGGCTTGCCTACAGCCTCATCTTACGGAGGCAGTTTATTAGCTGTGTCTCTCTCCTTTTTGATGTCCATAGCTTATGTCAGGTTGATGCAGAACTAGCCAGCACAAGGGCTCTTAATTGCTGAGCCAACTCTCCAGCCTCTTAAGTGTTTTCTTGCTTGATTTCAAAATGGATCATGTATATGGAGAAATTTGCAGCAGTAACAATGCATTTGGTCCAGAAACTGTTAAGGAATATGCCATTGCACTAATGGTTCAAAACGGTTTGTAAAGAAGAGGAGCCTTGAAGGTGAGGAATGTACAAACTCTGAGTAGTTGGTGAATCTGTGATCCTTTTACAACTAAAATGTTGCTGCAGAACTCAGTGTGGATTTTTGACATTTGAAGCAAATTGGAAACATGAGAAAGCCCAATAAAAAAGTCATCATTTTGAACTGCTGTTGTAGCTCTGCACTCAGTGTACCATTTCTTTATGGGGTTGTGACATGCAGTGAAAAGTGGGTGGTGCTGTGATGTATAATAAAATGTGAATAGTGTAAGACAACAGCTGTGACCAACAGTGATGGACTGAGATGAAGCTTCAAAGCAGCCACTTCCCAAAGTCAAACTTGAGCCCCCCCAAAAAGATGAGAGTCATGATTACTGTCTGGTGGTCTCTCACCAATCTAATCCACAACTTTCTGAAGTCTAATGGAACTGTTACATTTAAGAAATTTGACTAACAAATCTATGATCTATGCAGCCAGCATTGGTCAGCAGAAAGGGCCTGATTCTCCACAATGCCCAGCCTTCTGTCACACAACTGATACTTTAGAAGTTGAAACTTGAATGAATTAGGCTACAAATTTGTTGTTTTGAGTCAGGGTCTCACTGTAGAACCCTGCCTGATGTGGAACTTGCTATGCAGGCCCAGGTAGCCTTACATTTACATAGAGATCTGCCTGCCTTTGGAATAAAAGCTGTGTGCCATCACTCCTGGCTCAGGCTACAGGATAATGCTTTATCTACCATGTTCACCTGACCCTTTTCCAGTTGATTACCACTTCTTCAAGTGTCTCAACATTGTTTTTTAAAAGGAAAATATTTTATACCAGAAAATGCTTTCCATTAGTTCATTGAATCCCAAACGTGGAGTTTACTCTACAGTATTCAAAACAAAACACCTTTATTTTTAATTAGCAAAGATGTGTTGCTTGGAATGGTTTTTATCTTGATTAAGAAAGATGTATTTGAAATTATTTATGACATAAAACTGACTGTCAAAAACAGCACTTCATTTTATGCCAACCTAATAACTTATGTTTTTGATGGTAGGGCTTGAACCCAGGGCATGCTATATAAGGGCTGAGCTTTTATAGACATAGCCCTTATTTGTTAAATTACCTTTTTCCTTTATTACTTGATAATGTTACATGTTTATCCATACTCTGTTTATTAATAATAAGTCCATTTGTTCTGGATGTTGTAATACTTTAAAAACTAGGAAAAGCTATTTTTTAAAAAATAAAAAACTTAACATTTTCCCCCTTTCTTTAAACAGAGGAAAAACGCCCTTTTGACTTCGATTTTTTTGCTCATTTGCTTCAGAAAGTTCTTGCTGAAGAAGAAAAAAGAAAAAAATCTACTAAATGTCAGAGTTTAAAGGAAAAGGCCTCCAAACCACGGAAAAATGTAAAAGGTACTGATTGTGGGGTTTCATTTAGTGGTGAATTATGCTATTGTTTCTTATTAATTGAGAGTTCAAGTGTTAATTAGGTAATGGACATCTACTTGAGTGCACAGTAGAAGGGAATTAAAAATAATAATTATTTAGTAATAATAATAATAATAAAAAAATTGTTTTGCCAGTTATCTGGGGCAAAGCAGCAGCTCCCTTTTGATGACTTATACTTTTGCTTGTCCGTTACATGTATGAGTGTGTGCGGATGAATTGGTGCTTTGCAGTGAGGCCTGACATGACTGGAGAGATGGCTCAGAGGTTAAGAATGCTTTGTTACTCTTATATCTGACTGGCAGTCAGTTCCCAGCACCCCTGTTGGTGTGGTTTACAACTGCCTATGTGAATGTTAGAACTGATTTCCTCATTCCCTATTTTAGTGTGTCCTCAGGTTTTTTTTTTTTTTTTTTTTTTTTGCACAAAAGTAACATGACAGAATATACTTTTCAGTATTTATCATCTTCCTTTTCAATAAGTTTTCTGTAAGTAGTTCATGTAGTTATAACAATTCCTCTCATTTTTAGCAAAAACAGTAACCAGTGAAGAAGTGAATGACGATCCAGATGAGTCTGTAAATAGTAACATTTCAGATCCAGAAAGATCTCAAAAGGATGCTCAGACTGTCAATGAGGAAGAATCACCAAGTTCATCAGGACAGCACTTAGAACAAGCTATGTTAGAGCAAGACCAAAATCAAGAGAAAGAGAGGAAGAGGAACCAAGGTGAAGCTGATAAACAGGACGCAACAAATCTTTTAGAGAGGGTTCTTGTTCATTCGAGCCCTCCTGAAGCAGAAATATGCAAGAGTAAGTTCCAAGCTCATCCTAAGAACCTCTGTTTTACATGAAAAGACATGTATAGTAATGAGTATGACAGATGCTATCCTTGTGGATAATAGCAATTACTAATGCCTATTAAGTGGTTGTGTGCACTCTCCACACACACCTCACAGTCTCTCTTCATGCTCATTCACCTGTCTCTTGTCCCAGTCTTGTATTGTTACTCCAAAAGCAGATAGAAAAAAAAAAGACATTGTATAATCATTGCCAAATCAAATTCAAAAGAATAACCACATCCCATGAAGAATTAAGCATTACAGTTGTTCCCCAAAGTTTCAAGCTTCCCCTATTCCCAGGCCTATAGCCAAAATAATAATAATTGCAAACTTATCATTATTTAAATTTTCACTTCTGACTTATTATACTTTAGAGCTCAGAGCTCCGAGGTCAGCTGCTTGCATTTTCCTGTGAAGCTCTAATGATAAGTAACATGGGCAAAGCTGCCAGGCAGTGGCCGGAAAGAATCAAGTTAACCCTTAACTCAGTAGTTCCACTAGCTTTCTGCTTCTGCACATTGCACTTGACTCTCCTAAGAGTCCCAGTGTTTTGACTTAATTTTACTAGTATAAGATTTTGCATACTCTATACTTGCTTATCCAGGAACCACTCTTAAATGTTGCATAAAACTTATTTCGTAGCTTTAATAGTTTTTTCCTTTCTCAGGGTCCCAATGTTGGCTCTATTTTATTTTCTAATAATTTCTTCAAACTTCCTTTGCAAGTCCAGTATTAATCTGGAACTATCATTGTTCAGTTATTGCATTGTTTCCAAGATGAGAACACACAGCACGCACCTGGGCCATTAGGACTGTGCTGTGCTATGCCCAGTGCCTCAATTTTTAATTGTTTAAGAATCATTACATCAAGGAACACCTAATTTCACAAAATTCACCAGAGCAGAAGGAGAAAGAAGTAGGAAAGTCAGATATAATAGAATAGTTATGCACACTAAGGCCAACTGAAAAGCAGTCACGCACAGATGAAATCTATACAGCCATTGTCCAGGGCTAAGGTTAGGAGAAATGGGAACAACTGTTTGTTACATAGAGCTGCTGTGGGCTACTGAAATGTCTCCATCCCAGCCTGCTGTGGCGATCCCTTGTTTCAGATGGCGGGTGCCCTGGAAGGATATGTCTCCTGCTTCTCAAGGTCCCAAATGCCACCCTCTTTACAAGGAGTTGCTGTGGACTTGGGCTTCTGAGATGTCTCCATTCCAGGCTACTGCAGGCAGTCCCTGTCATTGCATGCTGTCCCCAGCATACGTGGAAATTCCTTATGCTTTAAAATATAGATATCTTTGCTATTTTTTGGAATAACGTGTGTTTTATATTCTTAGATACATGTCCTTCTGAAGAAAATGAAAGTGAATGCAATAAAGAACAGATACCTTCCTTTGCACAAAACATAGATGACACTGCAGGTTTAGCTTCCAGTGAAGAGATGGAGATGAGAATGGACCCCATCCCTTCCACATGGTAGGAACCTGATAACTAGCTTTATTTGCATCTTCTGTTGATTCCTGAGAGAGGAATATTGAAGTCTCCAACTGTCGTGGGTTTACACTTCTTTTTCTGTTTGTTTTGTTTCATTTATTTATTTATTTATTTTCAAACCTTTTTAATTAGGGTCTCAAATAACTTGGATTGTTGTATCTTAATTTTTTAAAAGATTTATTTTTATTTTTAATTATTTGTGCGTGTGTATATATCTTTGTGGATATGTGCACATCAGTGCAGGGACCCACAGAATCATTGAATTCCTCTAAACTGAAATTATAGGTGATTGTGACTACCTGATATAGGTGCTAGGAACTGAACATGTGACCTCTGCAAGAGCAGCATGCATTCCTAACTGCAAGCTGTTTGTCCAGCCTCTTGGTTAAGTTTCTTATGTCAGTCATTGTGTATTATATTCAAGCATGGTGTGTTGGTACACACCTAAAAACCCAGCACTGAGGAGCCTAAGGCAGGAAAACTGTAAGGGCAAGGTTAGGATGGGCTACCTGACAGACTCAGGTTTCCTGGGACAACTCAGTAGTTAACTGCCACCAAGACAAAAAGCACACAGACAAATCCTCCTGTTGTAGACTCCTAGGTGCTAGGTTTACAGGCATGGACCACCACGATCAAGTTTAGTTCCTATCACCCATATAAAAAACTAGTGTAGTAGCACATATTGATAATCCCAGTGTGTATAGGCAGAGATAAGATCATTCCCTTGGGCTTGCTCACCAGCAATGGCTGGTCGGCTAGGCTAATCGGTGAGCCTCAGGTCAATGAAAGACTCCGTCTTAAAAGCAAAGTGGCTAGTTCCTGAGCAGTGAAAAGAGGCTTTACACCAAAGCGGTATACTCACAATATCTTTTGGTATGAAATTTGGTATGAAAATTTATTTCTAGGAATTCTTTTCCTCCTGATACATTTTCCCTTCCTTAGTAATCAAGAAGACATCATGCCACTAGCAAGTGAGTCCTCAGAGTCATGTGTTGTGGATTTATCTGTGTTAGAACCCGGAAGTGCTACCTCTGGTGACATGAATAGTGCTGAAAGTACCTGTTCAGAAGGAAAGAGTGTTGACCTGAAGACTAAATCACCGTAAGTGTATGACTCATTTGTAAAAATTTGATAAGGTTATTAAACATTTTCATTTTTTGATTCTGGGATTAAACTCAGGACATCACACATACTGGGAAAGTCTTCTAAGATTGAAGGCTGAGCTGTATCTCATGCCTTTGATAACTTCCTTTTTAAAGGTACATATTTATTTTAAATTATGTGTGTATGTGTGTATGCATGTATCTCTGTGTGTGTATTTGTGTGAGTGTGTGTGTGTATGCATGTGTGTATCTCTGTGTGAATGTGTGTGTATGTGTGTGTATGCATGTGTGTGTATTTCTGTGTGAGTGTGTGTGAATGTGTGTGTATGTGCGTGTGTACACACCAGATCCTCTTGGAATTAGAAGCACTGTGAACCACTCTTTGTGGTGCCAGGAACCAAAACCAGAAGCTCTTAACTGCTGAGATATTCTTTGTCCCCTTGTTAAAGTTCTTAAATAACTTTTTTTTTATTTTTGTATTTTTTGTTTTTTTGAAACAGAGTTTCTCTATGTATTCTTGGCTGTCCTAAAACTCACTCTGTAAGACCAGGTGACCAAACTCTATGGCCAAACTCATAGTGGTACACCTACCTCTGTCTCCCAAGCACTGGGATCAAAGGTGTGCGCTACTAACACCCCACTAGAAGGGACTATTAATATGTAGATCACTTAATAAGTAATTTTACAGTGGTCTGTTAATCACATGTCATCAAAATTTTTTACTTATTTTTTTTTCTCTTGGGATTTTTCACTTTCGGGTTATTATGGAAAGAAAATTGAGCTTGTCAGGGGGAAATGTGCCTTTAATCCTAGCACTTGGGGAGGCAGAGCCAGGATAATCTCTGAGTTCCAGGCCAGCCTGGTCTACAGATAGAGACCCTGTCTCAAAAAAGCAAACACATGTGTGCGCACACACACACACACTCACATGCATACACACACACAAACCAATAAAACCAAAAAACAAACAAACAAAACAAACAAAAGCAAAAAAACCCAACTGACCAAACCAACAACAAAGCAGAAGGAAAAGAAATGCTGCTGTTAGCCTACTTATAATTAGCAAGCACAGGGTTTGATTGAGAGACTCAAAGAATAAGGAGAAGGAGTGACTGAGGAAGGTTTCTGACATCAGTCTTGGGTCTTGTATTCATCAGGGTTCTTTAGAGGAGCAGCACTTAAGAGATGTTCTCACATACGCATACATATGAATATATATATGTATGTATATAGGTAGATAGATAGAAAGGTAAAATCTCTTGTGTACTGTATGGAAGCACCATTTGTCAATATAAATCTGATGGCCTATTAGCTTAGACTAGAAATAGGAGGTGGGAGTGTTGGTAGGGAGAGAGAAACTCCAGGATAGAGTTGTGTGTTGAGACCTCTGAGGAAACAGACACAAGAAACCGAGAAAAGGAAACCAGCCATGTGACACTTAGAATGAACGAGTTAAATTATGAGCTAGTTGGGGAATAAACCCGAGCTTACAGCCTAAGCATGTATTCATAAATAGTCTCAGAGTTGTTATTTTGGGAACTGGGGTGTGGGTGGAAAAGCCTGAGGTGATGTAGGTATATACATACATAGGTAAAGATATGCACAAAAAAGGAAATTTATTAAAATGATTTGCAGGCTGTTGTCCATGTAGTCTAATGATGGCTGTCTGTCAGTGGAAGGTTCAAGAATTCAGTAATTGTTCAGTCCACGAGGCTGGATGTCTTAGCTGGGTTTTGGTATATACTAGGATCCCAAAGAAATAGGCTCTAATGTTAGTGAAGGAATAGACTTGCCAGTGCAAGCAAGCAGGCCAAGGGCAAGTGCTTCCTTCTTCCACATTCTTTATATAGGCTGCCACAAAAAAAAAAAAAAATGTGGCCTCAAAGGTGGCACCTCCCAATCTCTAAAGATCTGGATTAAACATGCAGCTTCATACATCAAAGACCCAGATTAGATGTGGGTCTTCCCACTTCAAATTGTTTAAGAAAGAAAAAATCCCTCACAGGTGTATGTACCCATTTGGATTTTAGTTAATTCTAGATATAGTCAAATTGACCACAAGGAATAGTCACCATAGTGCACCACACCCACCCGCATCCACACATGAGCGTGAGTGCACAGGTACACCACATGCACATGAGAAGGAGGAGGAACCCACCCGAATCCACACATGAGCGTGAGTGCACAGGTACACCACATGCACATGAGAAGGAGGAGGAAAGCTGTCGACCTCATGAATGCTGACTTTCAGGAAAGCATGCCACACTGGGAATCATATTTTTTAACTTAATTTTTGGGATAAACTATGTTTGTTTGATTAAACATGAAAAAAGTATAAAAACACAGTAAAGTTGTCTGCTGTGTCTTCCACTCTAACAAACGAGATGCCCCTTCTTTATGTGTATGTTGAACAAATACAAATGGCTTCATGACGTTTTCAGACTTAATTGTAATGTACTCATATAGAACATTTTGCAGTGTCTTCCCATACGTTTATGCAAAAAATTATCTTCTTTTTCTTTTTTCCTTCTTTGAGACAGGGTTTCTCTGTGTAGCCCTGGCTGTCCTGTAACTCACTCTGTAGACCAGGCTGGCAGCCTCAAACTCAGAAATCTGCCTGTCTCTGCCTTTGAGTGCCAGGAATAAAGGCATGCCACAACTGCCCAGCTGTAAAAAGTATCTTTATTTTTCTAATTTAGTAGTGTTTGCTTGTATGTCTGTGTTGTTTGTTCTCTGCTCATGGCCACTGAGGTCGTTTCTACAAACGCTTGGATCTTATGCTTTTACTTCTATGCTAGATTACAAGGGTTTTTTTTCTTTCATTATTTAATTAATTAATTTGTTGACTTTACATACCAGTTGCAGCCCCATCCCCTCTTCCTAGTCCCACCCTCACAGGTCCTTTCTCTATTAACTCCCCTTCTCAGAGAAGGAGGAACCCCCCCCCCCCCCAGTACTACCCTGCTTTCCTGGGGACATCTAGTTGCAGCAGGACTTAGTGCATCCTGTCCCACCTTGCCCCTACCATGCTGTCCAGCTAGGAGAAGGGATCCAATGGCAGGCAACAGAGTCTGAGACAGCCCCGATTCAATTGTTAGGGGACCTACATAAAGACCAAGCTGCACAGCTGTTACAAATGTTTAGGGGGCCTAGGTCCAGCCTCTGCATGCTCTTTGGTTGGTGGTTCATACAGTCTCTGTGAGTGCCCATGGTCCCAGGTTAGTTGACTCTGTAGGTCTTCTTGTGGTGTCCTTAAACAATGTGGTCACCCCCTCCCAGCCCCCCACTTGCTCATTCATGTCCCCAACTCTTCAGGACTCCTTGAACTGATGTTTGGCTATGGATCTTTGTATCTGTTTCCATCAGCTGCTGGAAGAAGCCTCTCAGGAGAGTTATGCTAGGCTCCTGTCTTTGCAGCTGTGCCCCAGATAGACCCCTCTGGTGGGGGATATGTGAGGGGAGGGATCTTACAAGTATATTTTTAAGTGAAGATTTTAAAATTGGAACTGTTTCTGTAAAGCATATACATCCATGTTTCTGTCTCTGTGTTCCTGCACATGCAAAGATCAGAGGACAACTTGTGGGAGTTGGTGCTCTCCTATCATGTGGGTTCCAGGAACTAGTCTCTTGATGGCAAATGCCTTCATCTACGAGCCAGCTCTCTAGCCTCCAGGTTTTCACTTCTATATTATCAGATTTCTAAATATCTTTCACTTTCTATGAAATCCTAGATTTTCTTCTGGTCAAGTTTATAAAGTAATTTTTCTTGTTTTCTGTGTCTTCATAAATGTTTGATCTTCTAGGAACATGTTATCAGCATAGACACGAGATGGAGCCGGCTCTGTTTTATTTGTTAGTCTGTTCTAATGTTTATTTTATTTTTTATTACTTTGTTTTTGTGTTTTGAGAAAACGTCTTGCTGTGTAGTGCTGGCTATCCTGGGACTTGCTGTGTATTTCAGTCTGCTCTCAAAATTAGAGAGGTCTTAACCTCTTCCTCCTGAGAGCTGGATTTAAAGTACCACTAAACATGCATTTTTAAATTCTGTCACGCATTTCAACTTCTCTGTTTGAGAGACGATCTCTATTGTGTTCTAAAATCCTAACTGTTTTGGAGTAATTTTCTATTATGTTTATTTACGTGTTTATAAGTCTATTTGTATTTAATTGTTGATGATGTATTTTTAACATCTGATAGAATAAACCTATTTTTCAGTTTTCTTTGTTATTCTTTTTTTATTTTTATTTATTTTTTATTTTTTTAATTTTTTTTATTTTTTTTTATTGGATGTTTTATTTACATTTCATATGTTGTCCCCTTACCCCATCCCCCACTCACCCAGGAACCCCCTATCCCCTCACCCCTCCTCCTGCTTCTCTGCGGATGTACCCCCACATAGCCCCCCACTCCCACCTCCCCACCCGCCAATTCCCACCCCCTGGGGCGTCCAGCCTTCATGAGGCCAAGGTTCTCTTCTCCCACCTATGCTCGACAGGGCCCTCCGCTCTTAGGTATACAGCTGAAGCCATGGATCCCTCCCTAAGTGCTCCCAGGCTGGTGGTTTAGACCCTGGGAGCTCTGGTTGGTTGGTATTGTTGCTCTCCTCATGGGGCTGCAAACCCTTTCAGCACCAGTGGCCTTCACTCTAACTCCTCCACTGGGAACCCCATGATCAGTTCAATGGCTAGCTGTGAGCATCTGCCTCTGAATATGTCAGACTCTGCAGACCTCTGAGGAGACAGCTATATCAGGCTCTTATCAGCATGCACTTCCTGACTTCCACATCAGCATCTACCTTTGGTGACTGCACATGGGATGGATACTCAGGTGGAATGGTCTTCAAACGGCCCCTCCTTCAGTTTCTGTCCCTCACTTTGTCTCCATATTTGCTCCCTTGAGTATTTTGTTGCTCCTTCTAAGAAGGACTGAATCACCCCCACTTGGTCTTCCTTCTTCATGAGCTTCATGTGGCCTGTGAGTTGAATCTTGGGCATTTCAAGGTTCTGGGCTAATATCCAATAATCAGTGAGTGAATACCATGTGTGTTCTTTGTTATTCTAATCCTCAATAAGCTTTAAGGAACTCTTTTAAGATCCAGCTGTCTTTTTTTCTAGCTTTTTAGAAAAGTTTTATTTGATTATGACTATATGTTGGTTGTAATTCAAATTTTTTTTTTTTTTTTAAAGAGAGACTGAACAGACAGAAACTGTCAAACCAAAATCAAGAAGTCGACTGCAGAGACCTAAGCCTAATCTGTCAAGGGCAATTGGGAAGAAGTCAGCTGTCTCACAAGACAGACAAGATGAAAGGAACAAGAACTCCCCTGCAGAAACTGCAGCTGAGAAGGTGTGGCTTAAGAGAGTATGTGGAAATTCAAAGTATAAAATACTTTCTAAGTAATTACAAATAAAATATTTAGCTTGTAATTCAAGTCACTGATACAGATAGGAAAATATTAAAACCTAAAATTAGATTTGTTTTTATTAGTCTGTTTCATATGTTTTCTTTAGAATATAGGCTATAACATTTGAAAAGAAATCTCAGTTATGATAAATTAAATGTTCCCTTTTTTCTTTCTTTTTTGTTTGTGGTGCTAGAGGTTAAACCTAGCTCGTGCTGGGCAAACATTTACCACTGACCTGCCGACCCACATCTCCCAGCTCTCTTTTTTAATTGTGTAAAGCGTTTGTTCAAAATGTTTCTCATATGTGTGATTTCATGTTTGTGTTGCTTGCATCTTTGTGGGCACATATATGTGCACATGTATGTAGAAGTCAGAGGTCAGCTTTGGTGTTGGGTCTCAGGAGCATCTACCTTGTTCCTTCAGATAAGGTTTCTTTTCTTTCTGAGGCTTATCAGTTAAGCTAGGATGGCTTGTTGGTGAGTTCTAGGGCTCTGCTGGTCTCCGTCTTCCCAGCGCTGGGATGATGATCACCCTTCTTTTGGAGTTATCTCTCTGGGCCCAGAGATTTTCATTTTTTGTTCTTTAACATTAGTAAATAATTTTGTAAGTAGGGTTTTATTGTTTTTGAGTCAGGGTCTCACTCTAGCCCTGGTTGGCCTGTAAATCAGATCATGTAGACCAGGCTTGCCTAGAACTTGCAAAGATCCCTAGAGTGTTAGGATTAATGGGATGGCCACCATGTGTGGCAAACAGAGCTTTCTTATGAAAAAAATTGTTAGTGTTGTGATTATGGTTCAAAGTATTGTTCAGAATATTTTTATGGCTGGTACTATGCAGTGCTAAAAGAAAGTTCCTAGATTGTGATTTGCATTAAATACATGATCCTAGGTTGGGGAGATGGCCCAGCAGTTAAAAGCATGTGCTGTTCTATGAATGGGCCTGAATTTTGTTCCTAGCCCTCACACCAGGTAATTCACAACCTTCTGGAATCCCAGCTTAGGGCAACCTGCCTCCTCCTCCTCCTGACTCTCAGGTACCTACACATAGTCATCTGTAGGCATGCAAGTAGGCATAGATAATTAGTAAAATGAGTCTTTTAAAAATAGGTCTTATATTTATATTTCTGTGAGCTTTAGTCTTAAAATTATTTTAAATGTTTCTAAAACACTTAAAATGCTATTTAGGTTTTTTCTTTTATCCTTATTTTAATTGTCATATATGGGACTCAGAGTCTCATAGGTGCTGGTAAGTGCTCTACCATTGATTTTCATCTTGATCCTGGTGAAATAGTTATTTGCTTTTTTGACAGTTCTAGGACGCAAACCCAGGGCTTTGCAAGTGCCTTTCCACTAAGCTATGTCTTTATTTCCTATAATCTTTTTAATGTTAAATCATTACAATCTGATATGATAGAAACTTATGTAAACATTTAGTTATTTGTGGAGGAGGCAACAGCATACACATGGAGGTCAGAGGACAGCTTACAGTACTTGATTCTGTATCTGTGGTTTGGGGGATTAAACTCATGTCATCAGGTTTGGCGTTTAGTTCTTTGACCCACTGAGCCATTATGGTGGCCCAGATTTTATGTAGAATTTTATTATCTAAATTGTAACCGCTCTTCACACTTATCTTTTCAAGTTTCTGTTTTTCTTCCTTTGGTATGGAGGATAAAAGCCAGGGTTGGAGCTATAGACTGTGAGTCACAAGCGTCTCCACACTCAGCCATATGTATATTCAATACCTCTCAGGGTTTATTCATTTTCTTCGTTCGGCATTTAAAATTTCATAAACTTCTTTTCAGTGCTATTTAAATATCTTTAGAAAACATCTTTATTAACTTAAGCAATGTAGTATCACTGAATTTATTTAACCATTCCTCTATTATTGGAAAACTTAAGCTAACAATGTAGGTTGTTTTTTATAATATTATGGTAAATATTCTAATACTTACATATTTTTACATTACTTTAGGTAATTTTTTTTTAATTCCATAGTTTGTGTGTGTGTGGAACCACAGGACAGTTGCTAGGCAGTTGGTTTTCTTTTTCTAGTGTGGTTTCTTAGAGATAAGTCAGGCTGCGAGGCTTTGCCAAGGATCTTTCCCTTTGCACCTCTCAGTTGTTTTTCTTTTTTTTTTTTTTTTTTTTTTTTGGTTTTTCAAGACAGGGTTTCTCTTTATAGCCTGGGCTGTCCTGGAACTCACTCTGTAGACCAGGCTGGCCTCGAACTCAGAAATCTGCCTGTCTCTGCCTCCCAAGTGCTGGGATTAAAGGCATGCACCACCACTGCCCAGTGACCAAGCTGGTTCTTTAGCCCAGAGAGATCTGTCTGTCTCTGCTTTCTAACTGCTGGGATTAAAGCTACCATACCTGATCTCTTCAGTTACTTTCTTAAAATAGTTTTAGATGATATTCATGGTCAAAGAATATCAGTATTTTAATGACTCTTGATGTTGGTAAGTGTCTTCTAACAATTTGTAAGATTATGTGTTTTATAATATTTCCATAAGTATTTAGAATTTTTAGAAAATTGCCTTGTTATAAATATAAAACATTCAAGATTAGTTTGTTTTTAATTCCCATTCAATGGAACATTTTATTGTAAGTAGCTTAAATGTAAAAAATTACATTTACAGAATCACATGGAAAAGGAGAGAGTGAATGAATCTGAAAATTTTGTAACAGAGAATGCAGACAGAGCAAGGCCAGGTGCTGAAGCTGTGTCTGAGTAAGTACTTGGGAAGAAGTGACCTTCAGGAATGGCTGTAATTATCATTCTTTGTTTGTTTTTGTTTTTAATAAAGTCAGAATTTTCAACTATGGTTGATCAAGTCTATTTTCATTATAGGTAGTAGGAATCTTTACTGATGCTCTCTGTGCTTGGTATTACAGATAGAAATGAGGGTGCAGGTAGAGCTAGGGCTGCATCTGATTGCCTGTCGTGTACACAGCTCTGGGTTCTGTCAGGAACCACACATAAGCCAGGCGTGGTGGCACATGCTTGTGATGTCAGCACTTGAGAGACAGAGGTGAGAGTCAGATGGTGAAGGTTATCCTCGTCCACAGGGTGGTTTTGAGGCTGATGGCCTCATACAGGAGACTAGTCTCAAAAATAAGTAAATGAAGTTTTTAAATGATCATACCATTGAGTTAGCAGTTTTGTGCTTCCTTCAATTTACTACTAAGTCTTGTCAAATAAATGAATAAGATATGTGTTTGTGGATGGTTGTATTTAAAATAAGTGATTTGACTTCTAAAGGAATATTTAACTCAATAGAACAGTTGATCTTCAAATATGGTTGTGATCAGTAGATTCTGGGCTATTCAGTGGGATGCTATTCTATAAGTTAGCTCTAATTCTCTGGCATTAAACAGTGGTGTTCTGAAAGAAGTAATAGAATCACATGTTTGGCAGATACAGGTTTTTCCATTTTTGAAGTGAAATTTTGATAGTTTTTAAGGATGGTTTTATTGTGCAGCATTAATGAATTGAGGCACAGGATAACGTTTCTCTTTGATTCTCCTGAGAACCTTAATATCACCTATCATCTAGAGGATCCAGATGTCTGTAACATTTATGTCTGTAAGAGTCAACACCACTGCTTGCTGCAGAACATTTTGCTAAGGTGTTTATCAGGGTCTTTCCTCAAGGTTTACACCTATTTCTTCTCAAACGGTTTTTTGCACGTATCCAGGTGTTTCTTCATTTTTACACACTGGGTCTGGCTGGGGGGTATGATTTATATATTTATATGGAATGTACAGAAAAGGGTGGTGATAGTGTTTGATTTTTCTTACCAGCTGCTGTCAGAGTTCTACTTTGCACTTAGACTTTCAGAGGGATTTCAGTTCATCATCGATGATAGGGAAGGGATATTGGCATAAGCAGATTGGTCTCTTGGGAGGGGATGAGGTGGTATCTGTTCATGGTGTCTACAGCTAGGCTTCCAGGACTGTGTCTGTAGAGTGTAGATGTGTGGTGAATATCTGTCAAGATGTTCTTGAGAATACTTGGAAAGTATTTTGTATTTAACACGATTTGCTTGTTTATATAACCAAGCAATTTTGTGACTTTGCTGTAATCTTTACTTCTTTGTGATTATAGTTTGAGTGAAAAATCCTGTGTCCAGGAGGATAGTCAGGCAAAAGTCTTAAGACCTACCCGACTACTGAGGAGTAGAATGCAAAGACCAAAGCCAAATGTAGTGAAAGCTGCAGAAAAAAAAGAAATTCTCACCTCACAGGAAAAAAGTGGGACTCATGCAGAGAAAAGTGAAGATGAATCCTGTGTTGCTGTGAGTAGATTGACTCTGATAACATTTATTGAGCAACTATATAAATAAGTCTTACTGTAAGCCTTTTGTTCTTTTAAAATAAGCTCGTGTATGTTTCATTACATTTGTGGCTGAAATCTCGTAGTGAGGCGTTTTGTTTGTGTTACATTGTTTTAGATATTTCAGCATTGTATACGACTCTTTTATACTTCTCTTTTATATTTCAGTCAGAGTCTAAATATTGGTTTGCTCTCATCATACTCCATATTTGGACTTGGTTTTTCCCTGTGCCTGAGATTGCACCTTGGTTCTCAAGCAAGCACTGTGCCCTTGAGCCACATTCTCAGCCTCCTTTTCAAAAGATGGTCATATATGTTAACTTTAACATTGGCTTAAACAAAATACTGGAAGTGTTTCAAGTATAATTCCCAAAACAGAGATAATAAATTGTGTGTGTGCATGCACCGTTGTGGGTGCTTGTGGTTTGTAAAACACCAAACCTAAGACCTCTTCCCTGCTAAGAAGGTACTCTCACTGTTGAACTCTACCCCTGGCTCATGGAGTTGTAGATTATTATATATGCTGTTGAAGAAAGCAGAAAGTTATCATGACTTAAGATTTTATTTCTTTCTGCTATAATTTTCTTTTTTTAATATTTCAGTTAGAAATATTTTTTAATATTTTAATCATCTAAATAAATATATTTGTTTAGATATATAACAAATGTAATATATAATTACATAATAAATTATATATCTAGACAGATCCCTGACTGGCTTCCAACTTATTGTATAAATGAGGATAACCTTGAACTCTGATCCTCCTCCCTCCACCCAAATGCTAAGAATGTAGGCACATGCTACCATGCCCGTTTTTTAATGTGGTGCTGGGGATTGACCCCAGGGCTTTGTGCATGCTATACAAGCTCTCTACCAACTGAGCCACATCCCTGTCCTTGTCTCTTGTTATAGTTCTTATAGTTTCTAATGTACTTATACTAATAAGTATTTAGAAATATAAAACATTGGAAGATTCTGACTAATAAGATGGAAACGGACTGAAATAGAGGAGAAGGTAGAGGAGGAGTCTGAAACATTGCTTTATGAATGGACAGACAAGAATAGGACTTTGAGACATGGTAAAGGGGTAGCTTATGGAATTTTCTAAGATAGCGTAAAGAAAAACATTAAACTGTTTTTATCTTACTTTATAATTTTGTCACTTTTAAAAAACATTTTTTACTTTTACTCAAATGAGATGGGGATCTTTTGTCATGGGTTGTTCTTAAATTCCCTTTGTAGCCTTGGCTTGTTTGATAATGTTATCTTTCTGCATTTACCTTCCAAGTGTTGTAATGCAGGAAGTGTTGTGTGCATCTAACCCTGACTAAGATGTATTTTTCAGTAAAATTTTTAAAAGGTTTGCATTTTATTTTGAAAGGTAAGATATGATGAACTTTATTGTTATTCAGATTCCTCCACAAATGGGAAGTGAGTCACATAAAAACTTACAACGTGAAGATACTGTGCCACAGCCTGAAAAAAAGGACCCTTTGGAAAATATGCAGGCTGATCAGCCCAAGGTTCTTAGTGAATGCCCAAGGTAAGCAATGTCTTATCAGTTACATAGTTTTGAAGTTTTCAGTATGGCTTTAGGGCTCAGTAAGTTTTAAACAAATCAAGATATGACTTACTGTGTTTGAGGAGAGGCGGAGTGCATGCATGCACAGTGTGCGTGTGGAGGGCAGGACAATGTTGGCAGTCAGTTCTCTCCTCTCACCCCCGTGACCTGGAAATGGAACTTGGGTCATCAGGCTTTGAAGGAAGCACACCACCTGAGCCATCTCACTGACTCTACAAAAACTAACTTGCCTCTGTGTGTCTCAGTTTATATTGTGTCTAAAAATATTTAAGGTGCTACAGAGAAGGCTCAGCTGTAAGATTGCTTACTGCTCTTGCAGATGAGGCAGCTTCCATGCTAAGCACCACACCACCCGGCATAACAGATGCATATCCAGTTCTAAGGCACTCGGTGCCCTCTGGCCTCTGTGGGCCCTAGAATGCATGTGGTATATATAAATACACAGGCATATAAAGTAATAATACATCTTTTTAAAAAAGGGGGGATAGGGGTTGGCAAGGTTGGCAAGATTATTCACTGGATAAAGATGTACTTGCTGTCAAGTCTGATGACCTGATTTCCATCTCTGGGTCTCATTGGGCAAAACAAGAGAACTGATGCCCGTAAGTTGTCCTCTGACCTCCATGTCCATTTGGTGCATGTGCCGCACCCTCATATCAAATAATGTAATTGTGAGTTGTCATTATATATAGCTTTAGTTTAAAAATGTTTGAGAATAATTCTTTTCAGGCTGCTGAGATGGTTCAGCAGTTAAGAACACTGGCTGCTTGCTCTTCCAGAGGTCCTGAGTTCAATTCCCAGCAACCACATGGCGGCTCACGACTGTCTATAAAGGAATCTGTTGCCCTATGCTGGATTGTAGGTGTACACGCAGATAGCTCACTCCTACATTTAAAGAAAATAAATAACTTAATTAATTAAAAAGAATAACTTTTCAAAGATGATTATATCATAGCTTTCATGTAAGTTACAGATGGCTTGAAGAAAGCTATTTAATATAAACTAGGATCTTTGTTAATAGGTATATCATTTTCACCTACTGTGTATTAGGTGTCTATATCCAAATAAGAATGTTACTTCTTGGAAGTGTTTGATTTTCTAAAATTAGGTCAATAGATGTAGAACTCACCCTTCTCATAGCCAGAGTTCCTGTTTATTATTTTGCTTGTGATTTTACCAAACCAGATTGATGGGATTATTAGGATGCTTATAGTATTGTAATATTTGAAGTACATAGATGCAGAGGTAACAGCATGGACTTCCATGTATCTGTTCTTTAACATTTATATTTAAAGTCTGGCCTATGATATACTTTTTAGACCTATTTAAATAATTTCTACCTTGAAATGAAGGCTGGCTAGGTTTTCTTCACTTTAAGAGTTCCTTCCATTATATATTTCTTTTCTTCTTAGTGGTCCTTCAGCTATTTAACTACTAATGTGCCCTGTACAGGTGTAGTCCTTGTTACACATCTCAGATAATAGATTTTATTTATCTGACCTACTGGTTTTGTATTTATATTATCTAAGTTTAAATGAGATTCCTTTAATTTTGGTGTCTTAGAAAAAAACTAAGTTTTTGAGTGTTTATTGAATTTTAGCACTCTGGCTAATGTTTTAATTTACTTATTTGTTTGTTTACTTGTTTTATTTTTTGAGAGGGTTTTGTGTAACCCAGAGTGGCTTTACCTTCACTCTGTACATGAGGGTGACCTTGAACTTCTTCCTTCTCCTGCCACCACCTCCCAGTGTAGCTGGATGCGTACACCATATGCCTCCCTCTGTTTTTTTGTTTTTTGAGTTTTTTTGTTTGTTTGTTTTCTGAGACAGGGTCTCTCTGTGTATCCTTGGCTGACCTACTACTCCCTCTGTAGACCAGGCTGGCTTCAAACTCAAAGAGCCTGGCTCTGCCTCCTAAGTACTAGGTTTAAAGGTTTGCTCCAGAACCAACCCAAAACTTCCCTCCGTAAAGGTAGTGCGTTTACTGCTTTACCATGTGGTACTTCTGACCTTTACATATCCAGGAACCCTGGAAAGAGTTTTGAGCTGTTTTACCTGATTTTGTGACTGTATAGATAATAGGCAGTTTCACCTTTACTCTGAACACTGTTCTGTTGAAGATTCTGTTAGAGAAGGGAAGGAGTCTCAGAAGGAAGAGTACGCTAAAGATTCTTAGATCAAGTCATGTTTCTTTGAAACTTACTCTAGGATATTTAAAATCCTTTATACCTCAAGTGAATATATGTTTGTATTTGGAGGTGATTTGAAACAGTTTGATGTAGTTCAGGTTGGCTTCAAGTCCATGTAACTAAGGATGGTCAAAAACTTCTGTTCCTTCATTCTTTTCCTTCCAGTACTGGAATTACAGATGTATGCACGCCTCTTGGCTTATTCTTGTCTGTCGATTTGTCTGCTTTCATGATAAATGTAGGGCCAGGGCATTAGGCTTGGTGGCAAGGGCCTTTGCCTGCTGAGCTCTCTTGGGGCCCAATATTCATCATTCATGTATGTAATATTCTTGATTGTATCTGCTCCGGAGAGCCTCCTCCCAAGCTGTACACCCCTTCTGTTTCCATCCTCATGTCTGTCCCAGTTCTGTTTACTTGCTTTTGATAACCAAATGGGTCTTGTTAGTGCTCCTGTTGGAATGCTGACTGGTCTTGTTAGCTTAATCTTGTGCAGTTAACCAGAGCTGTGCTGACTCCATGAGTGCAAAGGCCATGCCATGTTCAGAAGACGGCACTTTACAGCACTCTTCCTCATCCTCTGGCTAATCCATTCTTTCTACCCCCCTTCCATAATGTCCCCAAGTCTTAAGGGGGTTCATACATATATCTCATTTCTGGCTAGCACTCAACAGTCTTATTTTGAACACTTTGACCAGGTATGAGTCTCTAAATTACCTGTTAACCAATACAGAGACTTCTCTGCCCAAGGTTAACAGCAGTCCTAATAGCTATGTCTCAGCACAAATACTCAAAAGATAGTTGGATACCATATCTATCTAGGGAAACAACAGTATAAGGTTCCTAGCTGGGCCATAACCTCCTCAGGGCTGGGCTTTTGAGCAGGTTTATAGTACAAAGCATCAGTTCCCTCCTCTTATGTAGGCTTCAGATTCAGTCAGAAAGAGATTATTTCCCACACATGCTTGGTGTATGAACATGTCCACATGCACACGAAAGCACACACATATATCTTGATGACACTATTGCACCAGTGGGCACACCTTGCCTGGTAGGTCAGTATTGTAGCTTCAGGGTTCACTGGGTTAGACCCTTGATGACTTTCTTCCCCAGTGTTTGCATAGCATCTTGCCACACTATGAAAAGTAGGCAGCAGGGAGGAGGTTTTCTGCTTAGTTCCAGTTTGATTTTTCTATGTTCTGCAACCAAGAGTGTATTGTGTCTTCTTCAGCAATAGGATCTTACCATCTAGTTATGGTGAACAAGCAAGAGCAATGGTGATAGCTTCTGTTGTTTGAGTGACCTCAGCAGCCTTCCTGCCCAATAACTCATAAAGTATCTCATATCTGACACTGAAACTCAGGAAAGCATTGTTTGCCCATAGAAGGTGTCTGTATTAAAACTCCTTAAAAGTGAGTGAGTGAGTGAGAAAGAAAGAGAGAAAGAGAGAGAGAGAGAGAGAGAGAGAGAGAGAGAGAGAGAGAGAGAGAGTAAAATTAGCTTACAAAGTAGTGGGGTTTCTGTAGTGGTTTCTTATACTTTCTTAGTTTTGGTTAATTTTCTTGTTTCATTTTCCTCAAATCCAGCCCACACTTAACCCTTTAACTCTCAGTATTGCGCTCCCCACCATCATAGCACACATGTTCTGTCTTACCTGTTTCTTTGTAGAAATGAAAAGAATCATAAACAAAAATCTTCCATCACTAGTATTAAATTTCCTTTTGTGGTTTCTATTAAATTTTTACTTAATATTATCAGCTATTGAAGTTCATGTTAGCTATAAATACCTCAATTAAATATAGTTCAAAAGCCTGTCTTATTCTGAAGTATCTGTCAAGTGTGATTGTACAGGCTGGTTTTATGTGTCAACTTGACACAAGCTAGAGTCATCAGAAAGAAAGGATCTTCATTTGAGACAAATGCCTTCATGAGATCCAGCTGCAAGGCGTTTTCTCAATTAGTGATCACTGGGGAAGGGCCCAGCCCCTTGTGGGTGGTGCCATTCCTGGGCTGTAGCCCTGGGTTCAATAAGCCAGGGGAAGCAAGCCAGTAAATAACAGCCCTCTATGGCCTCTGCATCAGCACCTACCTTTAGGTTCCAGCCCTGCTTGAGATCCTGTCCCAGCTTCCTCCAGTGATAGATTATGATATAGAAGTGTAAACCAAATAAATTCTTTCTTCCCCAATTTGCTTTTTGGTCATGGTGTTTTCATCTAGCGGTAGAAACCCTGACTAAGACAGTTGTCAAAACTCATTATGAAAGATAAGTTATTTCAAGCAGAATAGATTAGTAACTAATGAAATGTGCACAGGAAGTAGCATATTCCTCGTGTGTGTGTGTGTGTGTGTGTGTGTGTGTGCTGGGATTAAGTGTGTGCTGGGTCTTATATATCTTTAAAGTTTTATTTTATCTATCTTTTGAGACAGAATTCTTTATATAAGCTTGGCTGTCCTAGAAATGACTTTGTAGACTAGTTGACCTCAAAGTCACAGAAATTGTCTTGCTCCTATGTCCTGAGTTCTAGAATTAAAGGCAAGTGCCACTTTGCCTGGCAAATCTGTCTTTTTTAAAATTTGAGAGTTTTAAGTGTTTCTATAGGGATTTTATACCTGTAATCTGTTCAACTGGCAATCTGGATTAAAATTTGTGTCTTCTCATCTTTGTTTTTTTTTCTCTTTTCTTTTCTTTTTTTAGTATTCAAGAAGGTAATAAAGGAAATAAACTGAAACAAGCCCCAGTTCTAAGGACAAGATTTCAGAAACCAAAACCAAATACAGGAAGAAGAAGAAGGATATCCTCCAAGGAAGGGATACTAGAGGAGACACCTATTTCTGGAGAAATTACGGCAACTTGGGAAGACATTCCGAGAGCAGACCCTTCCCCAAGGGAGGAGGTACCAAGTGTACCTGCTGCTCCTCTTACTGCTGCTTCCACCGAGGACTCAGAATCAGATGTGAAAGACAGTGGCAGAAATGACACAGCTTCTAATGTGAAGATGTCAGAAATGACGGATGTCACTATGGAAATGGAGACAGGTTTGGAAACAATTGGAAGAGATACTTGCCCAGGGGAGATGGGAGTAGAAATGATTGACATCCCTATGGAAACAGAGGCAGGTTTGAAAGCATCTTTAAATGAGACTTCTTCTATGGAGAAAATGCCAGAACTGATTGATATCACTGGGGAAATTTGCACAAATTTGGGGGAAACTGGAAGAAAAGAAATATTTTTACAGGAAAATGGCCCCAAGGAGGTCAGTCCAGTTAGTGAACCAGAGACAGATTTGCAAGAACCTGGAAAAGAGTTGGCCATGAAAGAGAGCACACCAGATATGATGGATAGCATTGAAGAAAGGGAGGCATATTCAGAGGAAACTGAAAGACAAGAAATATCTGCACCAATAAAGGATGCAGAGGAGGCCAAAGCCAGGGGTGAAATGGAAACACCCCTGGAAGAAATTGGAGGAGAAACTTCCCAGAGAGAAAAGGCAGCAGGCGTTCCTGTGGAGCAGTTGGCCAGCGAAGAGGATCCGTGTGGCAGCCCATGCAGAGCGGAGGTGGGAGTGGAGTCGAGGGCTGCAGAAGGAAAGGAGCTTAGCCTGGAGGACACTGGGGAAGGAGACGTCTCCTCCATGGTCGTGGTCTCAGGAGAGAAGACTGCCATAGAGGAAGCAAACGGAGAGTCACAGAAAGACACAGAAACAGAGAGTTCTGTCTCTTGGGAGAGTGGATCTGGAGAGGTCCATGTGGGAGAGGAAATGGTGGCAGACCTAGAAAAAACAGAAAAAATAGATGTTTCCTCAAGGGAATGTGAACCAGAAGAACATACTTCAGGGCAGCCTGAGGCAGATGTAATTCCAAGCAGGAGTGACGGCAGCACTGGCCCTCCCCACGATAGAAAAGTATGTATTTCCCGAGTAATTCTGTTATTACCCGTACGTCCAAAAATTCTTAAAAAAATCTCTAATAAAAATCTAAAGTCTTTTCCAGTCTTAATTTTTTTTTTTTGTTTTAAGTTCTTGAAGCACCTGTTTATTCTCTTAAAAATTTCAAAACATTGTTTTTCTAATTATGAGAATGTTACTAATTCTAATGGTAGTTTGAAGTTACTCATTTAGATAAAATGTATTTAGGAAATTAGCCTAAATTTGTACCAACCTTAGTATAAATATAGGCTAAAATTATTTACTATGGTCATATTTACTCTATGTTTTTATTCTCCTTGCCACAGTAATGCCTCTTTACTTTTAAACCTTTTAGTAAGAAATTCCTGTGGTCTGTAGTTCATACTCAACAGCATTTTTGAGGTGTTTTTTTGTTTGTTTGTTTGTTTGTTTTTTTAAGAGTGTGTATATAGGCAGTTGCATCTGTGGTTTAGAATAGTAATATACAATGTGAAGGGAAGGCGTTCCTGAAGTCTAAATTTTAATATTTGTGGGTTTTATATTTAACAGTTAAAAACAAGCTTCTGTGTTTTTAAATCACTGTTTTAGAAATAAGCCTTTGTTTAAAATGTGTGAAATGTTTCTAGAATTTCTGTTTATGATGATATATTATGATTCTTTTCTCTAGAATGTTAGCAGTAAAATATCAGTGATGCCTACACTTTTGGAAGAAAAAGAAACTAGTGACCACGATGTATCCAGTCACTTACCTCATGTGGAGTCCTCTTCACAGAATTCTGGACATCATGAAACAGATCAAGGGATACAACTTCCAGATGTTCTAGAGCAGTTTTCAGATACTAATTTAAGGTACAAGTATGTAGGTCTTTGTGCCTTTAAAGAAAAAGAATGTAAAGTTCTATTTGTAGATTATGTTAAAGTAAGTGAGATTTCAAGCCATAATATGTATAGGATAGTGTTAAAAGTTTTAATATAGTTTATGGAAGATGAGGAGAGAGGATTAAGTCCACTTTGATAGCCAGAGGTGAGATTTATTAACAAATTACATGTAACACATATTCAGAAATGAACATGGCCTAGATTGTACAACACAATGTTTTTCAGAATTTAATGAATAGTTCCATTTTTTGTCTCCTTAAAAATTAGAATGAAGCAGATATGATGGTGTATACCCACAGTCCCCATACTTATTAGGTAGAGGCAAAAGAATGAAGGAGAATTGAAGGCCAGCCTAGCTTAAGAGAGCATATTCCATGCCAGCCTAGGTTGCATAGGAAGACCCTGTGTAAAAACAAAACAAAAGCAATTTGAAGCTTACTGCCAGTCTCTAAGGTTGTCCTAAGTTCCACTCACTTTCATACTTCAGTACATTCTAATCATGCTTATTAATGCTTGTTCCCAAAGTAAACCTCTTCCTCAAGAACAGAAGCCACTTCAAGTTAAACCAGCTCCTCTTCTGAGAAGTCGATTCAAAAAACCAAAACCAAACTTGTCAAGAGCAGCTTTAAAGAGAGCAACCATAGAAGCAGAGCATTGTATACCTGGGAAGAAATCAGAAGCATACAAAATGGAGACTGTCACGTTACAGCAGGACAGTGACCAAACTGCTTCTCTCTCTTCTCAACATGTAAGTGATGAATAAGGCGGAGGTCATGTTTGTGGAGTCTGTTTGTTGTTACCATGGTTATTAAACCATTGCAAGTTTATATAATTTTTACTGTGTATGGTGTTGTCCTATGCTTACTGTCATCAGTCCATATAGTTCATGTTAAATATCTGGTGTCTGGTAGGCAGGTGTGGGTACGTGTGTTTAGGAATACATCTAAGGTATTTTAGACTCTACTTGATGTTCTGGTTATGTCCCATAGCCAAATGATGTAACAAGTTCCTCTTAAGGAAAAATGGGAATAATACTGCTTTATTTCGTTCTGTTATTAAGGTAACATGAAAAATGAAATGCTAGGTATGAGTTGAAGGAGATAGTTTACTTACTTCATTAACTTGGTTTATAACAAGTTAAGATTGTATATCAGAATTTAAACAGAATTAAAATTGAAATGTTAATATTAAAATCAGTGGTTCTTTGTTTTCGTTTTGTCCTTGTAGTCCTAGGAGCCTTCAGATGTTAGGCCAGCTTTCTGTCATTGAGATAGATCTCAGCTTTCTTAACTTTTATTTTGAGATAGGTTCTCATGAAGTTTGCCCAAGCTGGCCTTGAATTTGTACTATAACCTAGGGAAATCTTGAACTTGTCATCTTCCTGTCTCCCAAGTAGCCTGGCTAAATTGAATGCATTTTGTTTTTTAAGTTTTATTTGTTTATGCATATGAATGCTCTACCTGCATGTTTGTCTGAACACCAGAAGAGGGCATTAGATTTGATTACCATAGATTGTTGTGAGCCATCATGTGGTTGCTGGGAATTGAACTCAAGATTTCTAGAAGAGCACCATGCTCTTAACTGCTGAGCCCATCTCTCCAGCCCCAAATTGAATTTTATTTTAAAGTACCTTTTACAATTAAAATTCATATTTGGCATTTTAGAATAATTTTCTATGTTTGTACCTTTTCTAACTTTATAAAAGTTAAGCTACTTTTCCTGTTTTGTTTTATGAGTATGGGTGTTTCGCCATGCACACAGTGCCCACAGAAGGTAGGAAGGCCTCAGATCTCCTGGGGTTGAACTTTTACAGATGGTTGTTAGCCACCATGGGTTTGTTGGGAGTAGATCCTGCATCTTCTCGAAGAGCAGCCAGTGCACTTAATGCCTGAGCTATATCTCACCTGTCTGATAGAAAAACTACTTTTGATGTAATACTTTTCATTACAAAATCTTTAATTCCGAGAATTATGTCTTTATTCCAAAACATGAGAGCCCTCTATCCCGTTTCTTTCTCCTCCCTAATTAATGTGACAATTGTGAATATATCCATGTTGATATGTAAGTATTACATGCCATAATACCATCATCCCTTAGCATCTGATATTTCCATGTTACATATTTTAAACCTCTTTTGGGCTTAGTACAGAGAAGCAGCTTGTTAAAGTGGTTGTATACTGGAATATATAAGGCTAAGCTTGGGCGTGGTGCAGTGTGCACTCTATAGTTCTAGCTATTTAAGAGGATAAAGCAAGAGAACTGCAGTTCAAGGCAAGTCTAACAAGTAGGCAGCAGAGTGAGAGCCTGTCTCTTCATTGTGATGGCATTTAGGGAGGTAGAGGGAGGTGAATCTCTTGAATTCCAGGCCAGCCAGAACTATACAATCTATCTCAAATAAAAGGAAGGAAGAAAGAAAAAGAAATTCAGATTTAGTTCAGTGGGTAGAGTATTTCTCTTGCATGTATGAGGACCTGATATCAGTACCCAACAATGTCCTCCCCCCAAAAAAAAGGAAAATTTAATTTTCTATTGATGCACTGTCGTCCTATCTTGTTTCCAGTGTTTTGTTCCTCTGTTCTATTTGGGCGATGGTCCTGAGATCATAGCTTTATTCATGCACATTTCTGTACTTGTTGAAATAGTTTTATAAGATGAGTTTCTAGAAGTAGAAATTCTGCGAGGTAGATACGACCCCTTATTATCTACAAAGCATGGGACGGTTTATTTTTAAGTTAATGGTCTGTGATTTTTTTTCTTTTTAAACTTCTAGAATGTACCTTCCCTAGTGGCATCAGGAAAAAATGATAAATCAGATCATGAGGAGGAGGGAGCTGTGACACTGCCGTGTTCACAGACTGAAGAGGACCCTTCGCCGCCCAGTTCATGTGAACATGAAGAGGGTTCTCAGTTAACCCCAAACCAGGAAAATGGCTTAGTTGTTCCTAATGGGTAAACAGTGATATTTCCTTAAAAATCTAAAAATAAGAGAGGCTTTTCTTTGAAATATCTCTTTATTTAAAAAAAGAAAAGTAGATAGAGAATAATTGGTCTAATTGATAGGGCAGGCCACCTAAAATAGAAAATTAGATGGAATTGAATATCTTTTAATGCTATATTTATTTATTGTTAACTTGAAGATTTATGAAAAGAAGTACACTAAAATATATATGCATATGTATTATACATTCTTTGACTTTTAAAAAGTTGGCAAAATATATACATAAAATAAAATTTACCACTTTTAACCATTTTTAGTTGTACAAACACAGTAAAATAAACCATAAATCATTGTCTCATTGTTTTACAGGCAACACCATCCATCCATCTATCCATCCATCCCAGAACACTGTTTTCTTTTTCATAAACCTTTTAATGCAACTTTGTATTCACTAAACAACAACTTCACTCCTCTTCTTTCTTCTGTTCTTGGCCTCTGCCACTCTATCATCTGACTTTTACACATTTGGTTATTAGGCACATCACATAAGTTTATTAATATCTGAGAATTGAAATGAGCTTCCTTTGCCTGACTCCCTCATCCTCTTACTTTTCCCCTCTTTACTGTGCTAGGTTTGACCCTGGGGCTGTACACTAACCAAGGCCTCTCCTTCTGTTTGACTACATCTCCAATCCTAAAATAACTTTTTTCTTTTTCCTATGGCTTTTCCAACTTTGATAATGTATATCTCTAGTAAGAAGATATTTTCCTTGAATAATTTGAAAAAAATATTTTATGGGAGTTTATTAGAGGAAATTCAAGGTACATGTTCTTATAGCTGCCAAGTTTTTGTAGTAAAATTCCCTCTGTCCCTCCTTGTTCTTTTTTCTAGGACACAGATGATGAATATGGTCACACAAGAGACAAAGCAAAATGTTGTCCAAACAACTCTCCCAGTGAGGGGTCGACTTCAGAGACCAAGACCAAATGTGCAAAAGGCCAGACAAAGGCAAATAGTAGAAAAAGGCAAAGTGGAAGACATAGCTAAGAATGAAGGACCAGAGCTGCAAAAAGACGAGACTAAAACATTCCCAACAGTGGTGAGAGAATTGATCTGTAACTAACTGATCCTTCGTGCATACTGAGACAGCAAATGATAGATAGCTCAGCCTCGGGTTGTCTTGTCACATTCTACTCAGTTAATATGTGATGAATCCAACTTCTGTTTCATATTTCTTATTTAGTATGCTCTGAAGAGTTTATAACTTTCTCTTAGTACTGTAGTAACTAACTTCTCTATCAGGAAACAGCAGTTATATTATTTTTACTGCATAAATAACAGTGTACACTGTTTTGTCTGACAGTTTAACCCTTTTAAGAATCCTTTACCCGTTTAGATAGTGTGTCATTATTTAGCTGAGACTAGCCTTTATCCTCCAGCTTCGCCTTCCTGAGTGCTTCAAGCACAGAAATACACTATCATTCATTCCATTCTGCTTAACTATCATTTCTTGCTTTTCTTGTGCGTTCAGTGTGTGGCTGAGGCTTCCTTTCAGTTCTCACCTGCCTGCTCTTGCCTCCTGTCTGCTGTGATTGGGGGGCTATGCTGCCTGCTGTGCCCAGCTTTACCTAGGCCTTTAGTTTTCTTTTTAACGTTCACCTGTGCACTTGTGTGGTCAGAGGACAGTTTGTGAGAGCCCATCCTTCCCTTTTATCATGTAAGTTCTGAGGATTGGAGTCAGGCTGTCAGACCTACTGCTTTGATTCTCTTGAGTCATTTTGCTGACCCTTAATCAATTTCTTAGTAAGTCTTTTAGAATTAGAAAAAAAATTAAGTTCTCAAAATGTTATTTTTTAACTAGTCACTGTTTGTGTTCTTTTCTCTGGGTGTTAAGGTAAAACCTAGGAACAGGTTGACACCCAGAGTGGGGGTTTCCCTTCTCAAAAGAGGGGGGATAGGAGGAAGACTTGTGTGAGGGGGTATTGGTAGAGAGGAAGGGCTGATAATGGGTTGTAATGTGAATAAATAAATTAAAAAAAAAAGTTGAAACCTAGATTAAAAGTGATTGCGATCCCCATTTGAATAAGATATACCCCTAAAAAAACTATTAAACTTTTGGTGTTGGGGATCAAACCCAGAGCTTTGTGCACACTGGGCATGTGGTATGAAATTGAACTACATCTCTAGTACTAATCAGTACAAGTTAGATTATTTTATAACAGATGAGTGTTAGAGGGGGGTGTGTGCGGATGGGGTGATTGTACGTATTTACTTGGGCGTGTTCACTTGTGCATATAGGTATGGATCAAAGGGTAGTACATGGTATATGCTTTTATTTTTTGAGACAGGATCTTTCACTGAACCTGGATGCTGTGGCTTTAGCTCTGCGGGCATCTCGTGAGCTCCAGGGATCCACTGTCTACCTTTCTCCATTGCTGGGGTTATACGTGTGTGCTCTGCTACATTTGCCTTATGTAGGAGCTGGGGATCCAAACTCAAGTCCTCTATCCTAATGAATCCTCATCCCAGCCCTCCCCCCCGCCCCGGCACTTTTATGGTATTATGCCTCCCTCAGACTGTAATAAATCATTGTACTGCTTGATCTGAACTAGACAACCTTATTTTGGCTGTAAACCATGAATACTGGATGCCCAGTTCAGGTCATAATTTTTAAAACCTAAGTGGCTTATGCATATGGCACAATGACAGTGCATGCAGATCTTTCAGGTTCAGTTCCTAGCATCCCAAAGAGGAGAAATAGAAATGGAATACTCGTTCTTTGATTATGATGTTTGAAGACATTTTATGGTTAAATATTAAATCATATGCTACGGGGTGGTGGTGGTTAACACCTTCAATTTCAGCTCTCTAGGGGCATAGGTGCATGGTTCTCTGAGTTCGAGGCTAGCCTGGTCTACAGAGTGAGATCCAGGACAGCCAGGGCTACAGAGAAACCCTGACTCAAAAAACAAAACAAAACAAAATTTTAAAAAAATCTCACTAACTCAGTTTCATCTTTTCAGGCAAACTCTTCTTACATTGAAAATGAAGTTGCCGTTGAAGTGTCCTCTAGAGTTTCAGAGTATAAAGTGAATGAAAGTCAAGACCACGTGGTTCCTGTAGAAAACTTAAGTATTAACAAAACCAGTGTTTTACATGAACAGATAAGGTGAGTCTAGTTTTCATGAGAAAAACATGAACCATGTCAAACACAGTTTTCTGATTGTTACATACTTGGTTTTATTCAAAGACATTGTGGTTTGTTGTTGTGCTTTCTGGTGCTATGGATTGAACCCAGGCCATTTTTCACGCCAAGAAAGTGTTGTACTATTTTTATGTTCTCTGAAACAGAGTTTTGCTAAGTTGTCTAGGCTGGCGTTAAACTTGCTTATAGGCCAGGCAAGCCAGGATTTGTAATTCGGCTGTTTTAGCTTTAGTCCTGCGATGAAGCTTGTTCCAGCAGTCCTGGTTTAAAATTACCTCATTCTGAAAGGGCGTGGTCGCTTGTGCTTTTAATGTTAGCACTTGGGATGCAGACGCAGGAGCTCTCTGAGTTCAGGTGCAGCCATGACTGTGCAGAGAAACCCTGTCTCAAAAAACAAAGAAACAACCTAAACCCAAAGTGTTCCTCATCTTTAGGCTCATAATTTTGTTGTATCCTTTGAACTTAGTAATATTTTATTCTTAACTATGTTTTAATCTTTATTTAATTATTTCATTATTATGAGATCAGAAGACAGCTTTCAGGAGTTGGTTCTCTTCCTTCACCTTATGGGAATTGAACTTAGCTTACCAGCCTTAGTGACAAGTGCCTTTACCCACCTGGGCCACTGGGCCAGCCCTTACACTTAAATATGTTTTCAGAGTCACATATAATGACATATTTCCTTGTAGGTGGACCCTAATGGCTCTACTATTGAGCTACATCCTCAGCCCTATGTAAAAAAAAGAAAAAAGAAAAAAAGGCCCCAGAAAAGCTTTTCGTTTACTTGTTTTTAAAGATACTTTTTCTGATGCACACACACACACATTTATACATATTTATACACAATCTCTCTCTGTCTCTCTCCCTCCCCCTCTCCTCCCCTCTCTTTCTCTCCTTCTTTCTTCTCCCCACCCACACATATATTTGTTTGTTTTGTATGTGCGTTAGAGATTGAACCCAGTGATTTACAGTGCTAACCAGTTAGTTACCTGGCACTGAGCTACATTCCTATCCCTGTATTTATTTTTGAGCATCCTAATTCAGATCCTAGCCAGTTTCTGAGAAGTTTCCAGAACTCCTTAGGCATTCCAGCTACCTTGGTAGCTTTGGCTTTCTTTGAATCTTTAAGCCATGTTTTTTTTGTTTCTTTGTTTTTTCCTGAAATGGTTTATATTCATCTTCTTAAGACACTGCAAAATCTTCCCATGAGCTTTCAAGAATGTGGTATGATAGACTGTCAAACAAGACCATTGTGTATTTATTTGTTCATATGTTGGAGCCTATTTGAGGCTTTTATTTAAAGTACTGTTATGAAACCTGTGTTCAGCTACTGTGACAAGTATATTGTATCTGATTTTTTTCTCTATAAATTAAAGTTATATGAAACCAGGCTAGAACTAGTGAATGAAAGTAAAGAAAGATTAATACTATAACTGTTTACCAGGCTATACAGAAAATGTAAGTTATAAAAGCTTTTATGTTTTGTTTCAGATATAAAATACAATGTTTCATTTTGTATGCTTTGTTTTATTTCCAATTTATATATAATCTTTTGAACTTCACATCAGTTTGACTCCAGAGTTGTTTAATGTTGTAACATTGATGGAGAGTTTTGGTCTTCACCGTAATTTGTACTTCATTCTAGGCATGGAAATAAACCGTATGTTCCTAGTCCAGCACTGCTGATGAGAAGACGGCTTCAAAAGGCAAAACCACATTTAGGAGGAGCACGCCATAAAGAAGAGCAACCAGGTGTAGAAAAAGGCCTGATAGATGAGAGCGCAGCACTGACAGCAGCAGATCCCCTGCCGCAGAAGCAAGGCTGTGACACCCAGCTTGCTCGACAAGCAAAGGTGAGTCTGCTGGGTCAGGTCATGCAGGAGAGCAAGGGTGAAAAACTCACTTCTGTGCTGCACATTTTTCCCTGGAAAGGGAGTGACGTCACAGCTTATACAGGTTTGAAAATTGACCACCTGTGGCTTTTCATGTTTAGGAGACTAGGCCAGACTGCTAAGCCGTATTGATATAGATTGTGTCCATGGTAATATTATCTTTTTTTTTTCTTTAATTTAAGGAAAAGACAGAGATACCTCTGGAGGTTTCAGTGAGAAAAGATTGTGTACATTCTGAAGAGTCCAGTTCTGATAGAAATGATGTCCAGCTGAAGTCGGAACCATCGGGAGCTGCCAGGGCTGAGATTGCGGAGGAGCGGCCTATGTCTTCTTCAGGGCTTGAAGAGCAGAGTCTCAGTAAACAAATTAGGTAATTTTTTATTTTAGACACTCAGGATAGGAAATAAAAGCACTTATTTCTTAAAGAAGTTCTAACTTAATGCACTGTTTTTTATTTACAAGTCTATTATCTATAATAATGTACATTTTTTTTTCTGACCAAAAGATAGTGTGCCTTACCGTGATAATTAGACTGCTAATGCTAGTTGGCTGTAAACAATAACAAAGAATACTTTCATAATTTTTAAGAAAGTAGGAAGGAACCTAAGTTCTTGAAAAACATTATTTGCCTAATCTACATACCCAATAAGATAAACCAACACCACTGTTTGATCTCATAGTCATTATTGATTGGTTCCATGTATTTTATTTGTTTTTCTTTTAGTTATTTCCAATTTTGTGATTATTTTATCTCAGTCATCATATCATGGTTATTAGGCCAGGATTAAAAATTTATTATGCAGGAAAAAAGACCCTTACTCTGGAATATTTCTAGATTTATAAGTAAGAATTCACTCTAAATAAGATGCTAAGTAGTAATTAGTTCCTTTCTTATTTTCATAACATCTATTTATAAAAGAATGGGCTAGGCATACAGTTCATGAACACATTTGGGTATGACTTTTGAGGTTCTGGTTTCAATTCTAATGTCATAAAATGAAATGGTATAGCATCATCATTGTCATTGCTGAGAACTGAACTTAAGACTTTGCATGCTGGGTAAGCGCCCTACCTACCACTCAGCTATATCCTTAGCTCAGGATATAGTGGCTGGAATTGTGATTTTACTTTTAACAGTCTAGCTTTCATTGAGATTATCCTGGTACTTTCATGATGATAACTGTTATTTTTGGTTAAACATCCAGCCGTCCACAACTTTTGAAAGAATCAAGCTATCCCAAGACTGTTCCACATCGGAGAACAGCGCTCTCTTCTGCCTCTGAGTGTGAGATAGATCACAATGGGAAAAGAGCACATAGGAAGATGAAGCCAAATGTGACCAAAGGGCGTGGATCAAAGCGAATCCGAGGTAAGCCTGCTAAGAAGGAACCTAGAGCTTCCAAGTCCATGTTGGTGACTCTCCGGGCTTCTCAGAAAGAGGATGAAGATGATGCTGAGGATTTTGATTCTGACTATGAGGAAGAAACCTATCATCTTGCCCCAGAAGAATTAAACAAAGCACCAGTGTTTGTACCTGTTGGTCTCAGATCCCCTGAACCAGTTTCTGCTCAGATCGAGGAAACAATGGAAGAGGTAGTTTGTGTTTTGTTTTGTTTTTTCAATTTTTGGCACTTTGACCCCTTTAATAGATGACTATTTCTTCTTTTAGTGATTTGTTAGAGTCTGAAGAGTTCTTTCTCTAAATATCCACTGTCAGAAGTAATTTATTTGGGACTTAGTGAGTACCTTAAGGAACACAGCAGAAGCGGCCTGTATGCCATCACTCAGTTGTCATATAGTCCTTACTCCACAAGGGACTCACTTAACTGTGGTAGAAAATTGCTATCCATGTAGCTGAAGCTACTTAATCTAGCTTTTGACTGAGTGGAAAAAAGTCTTAGCAGGTCTTTTCTATTAACTCTTTGATAGGTTTTCTATGTGTGGTTGGTAAAGAAGCTAGAATCCATCTCTTTCTTCTTCTCTTTTTTTTGTTCTGTTTTGTTTTGTTTTTGAAGCAGGGTCTCATGTATCTCACATTGCACATTGACCTTCAAACGTGCTGTGTGGTCCAGGATGACCTAGAACTTGTGATCCTCCTGTGTCCCCCTTTCCAGTGCTGGGATTACAGTCGTGTGCTACTACAGCTGGTTTAAGAAATGCTGAAGCTAGAACTTGCAGCTTCATGTATGTGAGGCAAGGACTTTACACCAGCTGGATCCTCAGCCTCTCCCCTCCCTTCTTCTTTCTTACTCATTTTTAGCACTGCCTTCCATGCAAGAGAACTTGTCTTTTAAAACTGGAACTCTTGTTTCTAATACAGCCTAGGGTGACCATGAATGTCTCATCCTCCTACATGTGCCTCCCAAAAGCTGGAATTAAGGTGTGTGGTGCCAGAGGTGGAACCAGGGCTTTTACAGAGTTGGCATGGTCACTACCAACTGGGCCATAGCCCCAGTCCCTGCTTCTCTGCTCTTTGTTCTTTTGGAGATAAGAAATAGATTTGCTAGAATATTTGGTAATTTTTTATTTAAGGGTTTTGTTGTTGTTTTAAGCAAAAAAAAAAAAAACCCTAATTTACATAATTTTCCTTTGTCAGAGGCTTTAATTTCTATCTTAACCACTATCTATTTCTTCTTTCTTCATCTGTTCTCACTTCTGTCTTTTTTCTCCTTTTCACTCCCTGGCCTCTCATGATAAGTAGTCATTCTACAGCTACAGTATGCTCATTCTTGGCTTTGTTTTGTTTTGTTTGGTGATGGCACATGCCCTTAGTCCCAGCACTCAGGAAACAGGCAGGTGGATCTTTGTGAGTTTGAGACCAGCCTGATTTACAGAGCAAGTTTTAGGACAGCCTGGTATGCACAGAGAAACTCTGTTTCAAAAATTTAGGGGAAAAAAAAATCTGTGGTCATTCTAATGAGGCGGGTGTGAAGTAGAGGAGCATGCTTCGCCTCTGTGCTCTCACGTTCCCACTCTGAGCTTTAGAGCTCCCTGTTCCCATTCAGTTCCTAGTCACTTAGCTGGTTATTGAGCAGAGTTTCTCGATCAGTTCTGTATAGGGATTTAGAATACTTCGAGTCATGTGAGACAGAATCAGGAGTTTGATAGACTGTAGTGATGATGTAGGAGACAGTTCAAGTCCTCTTATGGCGCATCTGCTACACTTGTGAATGCAAAGGAACATCTACCTTTAATTTATTCAGGATTAATAACAGCATGTCAAATGTCTAAAGGTAAATGAGTTAGTAGAATTCTTGATATTAACTAAATAATTGAAAGTTCAAAGTAAGTATACTGAATATAGGCTCTAGTATCCACCAAGAAAATACCAAAGGAGCATTAGCTTGTGAAGGACAGGTGGCAGTGCTGCATGCGGTTCATCTCTGTATCCTCTCCCACAGCACTGGGGGTGAAGGCAAGTTGATAGTGAGTTCACTTCCAGTAACCAGGCTGCAGGGTGTGTCTCTGCAGAACATCTTCTTCAGTGGCACTGTTTTGTCCCCTCTTCTGTGATCAAAGTTTGGGCCCTGTAGACATGAACTCTGGGCTATACTTAGCCTATCATAGTAGCAATTTTGACTCAGCAGTTGAAGAGAAACAATTTAAATTGTATTTCCTTTGGCCTAGAGAGATGGCTCAGCAATTAAGAGTTCTCCTTGCCGGGTCATGAGGAACACAGTTCAGATCCCAACACTAATTCCAGCTCAAATGGACCCAGCAGTCTTTCCTGGCCTCTGAAGGCTCACAGATGTGTTCTTCTTCCCTGACCCACACATACACTTAAAATAAATCTTTACAAGAAAAGTATTCCTTTCAACCAGCTGTCAAATAGTGTGTGAACCCATTACTAGATGATGAGAGAGGGCTGTTAGACTAGGAGTAATATGGTAATCAATGTTTTTAAGCACATCAAGTCATCTCTGTAATATTTATGGTAGTGTACAGTTAGTTTTATGTGTAGTTAACATGTTTTTCTTTAATCATGAGTTTGTCGAGGATAGGGACCAAGTATATTTAATTTGACTTTGTATTCCTATATTTATATGATTGTGTTTTTGAAAACATTACATAAATGTTAGGCAAATGGAAGAAATTGGGACAAAGTGAGAGGAATGTGAAGTAACATGCCGGCTACTCAAAGGTTATCTGTAGAAAATTTGATAACTGGTTGTAAAGCCCCAGACCCCTCAGAAATGTAATGTTTTATTTTTGCTTAAGTTGTTAGTCACTGAGAATTAATATAATTCAGTTTTTAAGTTTTGTAACTGTGGCATATTTCTGCTTCTTGATGTTTAATTTTGTTTATTAATAAAATGAGGTGTTTTAATGTTTGTATTTGAAATACTGATCTTTCTTATGGCAGCTTGAGATAACCATGGACGCTACAGATGTAGGATGTGTAACTGTTGTTGAACATCAGCTTTCACACATGGGCGTGACAACTCAGGATGTGCAACCAGAAAAGGTCTGTGTATGTGTCATCATTTGTGAGTTTCTGTATTTGCATACTGCCTTCCATCTGTTTACCTCCTGAACAGTGCAGGATTATTTTCATAACATTTGATTTTTCTTCTCATGTGGGGAACTGTTTTTATGAAGAGTTGAAACTTGCAAATCATCAAGAGTTTTACTTTTGGTTGTAAAACTTATTTTTGTATTTGTTTGGTAAAGCTCAATATCATCATAGACTTTTACCTCAAAATTCTGAGGCATACGTCTATATTAAATAAATTACAGTAACTATACAAAATTAAGTGCATTATCATAAATACCATAGTAGAGATGAATTTTTAAAACCAATAAAAGTTATATTTGTTTTTATTTTGTGTGTGTGAGTGTTTTGCCTACATATATGTATGTGCAACACTTCTGATGGTTTTTCTAGTGGATCTGAGGAGGAAACCATCCTTTCCCCTCCCAATTTTATGGAATTTGGTAATGCTTCGTCATTTCTTAACATTCCAACCTTGGCTTCCATCAGCTTATGACATCTTCCTGTTTTTATCTTTTATTGACACATTGAATTAGAGGCATTGTCATATTGAATTTGGGCCAATCCTATGGTTTTGTTTTAAACTGAGTACATTTATATAGACCTTTTCCAGGGAAGATGCATTTATAGTATCAGAAATTTGAAATTCAGTTTATAATATTTTCCAGTTTGAGTGTGATTTATTTCTTTTTCTTACATGATTGTCTCGGCCAGATTCTCTGTTGTAAATCAATTCCTAGACATAGTACAAGTGGGCATTCTTTTTTTTTTTTTTCCAAGACACACTTTTCTTTTGTATAATTGGTGGTTGTGGAACGCACTCTGTAGATCAGGCTGGTCTCAAACTCAGAGATCACCTGCCACTGCCTTCTCTGAGTGCTGGAATTAAAGGCGTGTACCACCAGTGCCCAGATTACAAGTGGATATTCTTGATTTGGTCATAGTCTTAAGGGGAAAGCAGTTGATCTTGTGTTGTATAGTGGTAACTGTTGGGTTTTTTAGGTTATCTCTCTCAGGCTAAGGAAACCCTTCTGTGTTGATTTGTTGTGTGTTTCTCAGGAAAGGATTTTAGACTTTGTCATATGTAGTTTTGAGTTTTTTATTTTTTGCATTGCTATAGATGTATACATTTTTTAGTTACCGTATTGACAATTTGTGTTAACAATGATTTTGTGTGTTGAAGGAAACTTACTTCCCTGAGGATGACTTATATGTTTCTGTGTTGTTTACTAGTATTTCAAACGTCTTTATGTCCATATTTATAATAGCTATTATCCATGGGTTTTTGTTGTTGATGATCATGATGGTGTTAGGTGTTAAAAGTCTTGTTTTTCTGATACCCTGTGGCAGGAAGAGCCCACAGTAGCTTAGGTGAAGTCTTAGATTCTCTGAGCTGAAGGAAGGCTGCATTGAGCATCTATCTGTGTTTCACAAATGCTGTTTTTAGCTACTAGTTTTATACGGATCTTGCTGAATAACTATCTCTTACTCATTTTTGCTCTTACAACCAATTCTAGGGCTACAAAAGTTTGCTGATTTTTAGGTCATGTCTGACAGTTGTCCTGGACATCAGGTCAGCGGAACTCCTTGCGCTCCTCTCTGGACAACTGTCTCCTGTCCAGTCAGCATTTACTACATTTGTCATATTTTAACCACACAGTGTAGAAAGTTTGTGTCTTCTCTAGACTTTAGTTTTTATTAGGTAAATATTGGTAGCAGATTTGACCAGAGATGAAAGAGTATGACTGTGAAGATCTAAGAATAGGAGACAGATAAATCAGGAGTGAGATACAAAAGAATTTGGTCTGTAAGTTACTATTTCTGTTCTTGTGAACCTTTATGGATTAAGAATTAAGTAAATTAAGAAAAGATTTACTATTATAACTAAAAACACAGAAAGACTTGTAAGACAAGACTCGTTAATGCTTAAAAACAACAACAACAACAGAATATTTGTTTGGGGGAAACACTTAACATGTTTTTCCTTCTTTTAGGAAATGGTCATAGGTGAACAGACCCAAGAAGAACCAGGTAACTGTTAGCAGAGAATTGATTAAGACTATTTGGTTAACTGTATAGTAATTAGCAGTGATGATAGGTAAATGGGACAGTCTGCTAAAACGTAGAACAAAGACAATAGCCTGTCATGTTGACAGGAGCCTGAGCTTCTCAGAACCTAACTTCAGAAGGTGTGCCTGGAATCAGTGTTAAGTAATGAAGTACTGATGCTTTCTCTGGAGCTGTACAGAGTTAATATGTGGGCAGTGTTTCCAGTGAGTACAAGTCAGCATTGATGAGCTATAAATACGCAGTGTATGACAGACAGACTGTGACTTGAATACTGGGATAGTGGTGTGAAGGCTGTCATAAATGTTTACTAGAAGACAGGTATCTGAGCATAAAGTTTTCCTAAGTGAAGAGACATCTAGATTCATGTTTATGTTTTAATGTTGGTCTCTTCCCTAAAGGTTCCAGTGATGGAAGCACTGAAGCCGCCATAACTTTACTTACAATGGGAGATATAGTATTGCAGTCAGAGATCATTCCTGGGCAGGGTGATGGTAAGTCTGGAAGATAAATCCTACCCAGAGGAAAAAACCCTTTAAAAATGTGTTAACAAGGTGTACCTACATGCTGAGTAACCTTTATCTTTAGTAAGAAGGCTTTTATGTTAGCAATGGTTAGTGTTGTTTTTCATAAAAAGAGATTGTATTATCATTCATTATTTTACTTAGTCTCTTTAGGTGTAGTGACAACAATTTTGAGAGGCTACAGTTGGCTTATTGAGAATAGTTTGGGGTTGGAGAGCTGTTTCAGCTGTTAAAAAATTGCTACGCTCATAATTAAAAATACAAGAATTATTTGGCTGGGCTAGATGGCCTTTATTCATTATCTTTAACTATAGCTGATTGTATTACAGGCTGGTAATGGTTGATCTGGCATTCACTTTCATTGTATGACTTGTAGTTCATAACCGTGCATATTTCAGAGGAGTATCTAATTTGTGTTCCAGGCAGGGCTTCACTCAGGAGGAATATTCTAGTGGCGCTGATACAAATTTCTAGTATTTAAAAAAGTACAATTTTCAAAAAGTAGTAAATGAAGATACCCTGTTTTGAAACCGTTTACTGAAAATAACAAAAAGACTAGTTTTTACCCCAAAAATTTAGTGGTAAGAATAATTAAGCTTATTACAAGTCAGATTCTTGAATGAAATATGAAATTAAATTTGGATCCTACTAAAACAAACTTTAATACTGAAATTAAATTAGACAGTTATAGAATGTTGAGGAATTTTATTCAGATAGCTGTTAATATTGGGTCAATCTTAATTTCCTGTTTTCTTCTGCAGTAGGAGTATGTGTATTTCCTGATGTTCAGTCAAAGGATAAAAGTCATGTTCCTTTTAGTCCAGATACTGTAAATCAAAAAATTGTTCATGACTATCAGGAAGTTTGTTCACCTGTCATTAGTATGTCACATGCATCATTTGAGGAAAACAAGATTGTATCGAAGGAACAAAGCAACAGAGAAGCTGCTGTGATGGAAGATGACACAGAGGAGACACTGCCAACCAGGTTATCTTAACATTCGATTAACAAAGACTCAAACAGCACCACTTTAGTTATTAGCTTCTTGCTTGTATAGAGACAGTGCTAATTCTTCACAGGTTAAATTAAAGCTTATCTGACACTGATACTGGTTTGTTTGCATGTAAAGCACAGCAGTATGTTTTCTGTGTCTTTGAAGCTTAAGTGAAATAGGTTTATGTAAATGTTTTCTTCTTAGGGCTCTTAGCAAACGTAACCACTTTTTAATTTTAGCATTCAGAAATGACCATTTGCCAGGTGTGATGGACCGTATCTGTAATTTCAGCATTCTGGAGGCTGAAGCAAGAGGGGGTTTGAGTTTTAGGGGAGCCTCATGTCATGTTGATACTTTGTCAAAACAGACAGATAAGCAAACAATTATATATAATGTGGTATCTGAATGGTGGTGTATTAAGTGGATCAGTACTAGACATATACACTGATAACTTGGCTCTTTTTCCTTCTAGGAATACAGCTTCTACAATGAGCTCACATGTGAGAGTGGAGAGTATGGTTGTTACACCCAAGCCAAACTCTGAGAAGATTTTAGAGATCAGTGAGCTTGACGGTCAGCAGGAAGTTGCCAGTTTTTGCATAACTAAAGGGACAGAAGTGGAAATTCAAAGAGGTGAGTTTAATTTTTCTCTTAGAAAATTACATTGACGAAAGATACATTTCTGAGACCTGTGGGATGGCTTGATGGGTAAAGGTACTTACCACACAAGTCTGTACACCCAAGTTTGATCTCTGAAACTTATATAAAGGTAGAAGAGAGGACTGACTCCACCAAGTTGTTCTCCGACCTTCATATTCACATGCTCACTGTGACAATGCGACTTTTGTAATTATAAATCATTCTAAATTTATTTTGTGTGTGCCGGTATTTTGTTCACATATATGTTCTGAGGGGTGGTGAGAACACTCCTGATTCACAGCACTCTAGAGGTAGAGGCTGTCTAAACAAAAAGTATTGTGTTTGTTTATTGAGACGTGATTCACATACAGTACGTTTTACCTATTTAAAGTTTACAGCTCAGTGGTGTTCTGTTCACCAAACTGTATAATTATCACAGTCAGCAGGTATTCTCCAACCCTAAGCAACCACTAATTTCAATTTGTCTTTGTACATATGCTTATTCTAGACATGCCATGTAAATAGAAACATAGAATATATAGTTCAGTCTGGTGTTTTTCACTTAGCATTGTGTTTCAGGATTTGTTTATATGGTGACAAGTATAAAGTAGTTTTAAAAACTTACTGTCTGTGTATGTACAGCATGGGACTGTGGATGTGGAGGTCAGAAAACAGCTGTGTGGAGGAGTTGCTCCTCTCCTCCGTCCATACAGGCTGCCACATTTTCTTGGTCAGAGCCTTTAGTCACTGGACCTTGTTTCTTTTTATTGTCAAATAATACTTCTCTGCATAACTTTACCACATTTTGTTTATTATCTGTTGGTGAGCATGTGGGATGTGTCTACCTTTTTCTATAATGAATAATGCTGTTATGAACATTCATAGATGTTCTTATTTCTCTTGGGTCTATACATACAAAGTAGAATTTCTGGGCCATGCAATATTTCTATTTTTCCCCTCCCCCCATGCTAGGGTTGAATCCAGGCTTTCACACATGCTAAGCATACACTCTGTCAGTGAGCTTCATCTGTGGAGTAACTATTACATTATTTTCAAGAAGATATCAGTTATTTACCTGGTAACTTTTATATGTTATGTGGCAGTTAAATTAAAAATAGAGTAGTTGCATGACTTCATATTTTTAACTAGCAACCTATGAAAGTTTGTCGTCTGTCTGTCTGTCTGTCTCTGTCTGTCTCACGCACATAAGAGCTGACTGGGAACCACTGTGTAGTTTAGGCTGGCCTTGAACTTGGAATCTTCCTATTTTAATTTCTCAGAAGCAAAGAACTTTAGTTTCTGTCCTCTCCTAGACATCTAGCTTTTTTAGTGATGCTGGAATTTGAACTCAGAGACTCAGACCTGGTAAACAGACACTAAAGGTGTATCACACAGCCACAGCGCTCCAAGACAGTTGGTACTTTTATTATAACTATCTTGATGTGAAGCAGGGTTTCATTGTAAATTTGACTAATGATACATGCCTTTTTTTTTTTTTAAACTTTCTATGTGTGTTATGTGTGAGCATGTGGGCCACTAAATACATGTGGAGATCAGAGGGCAGGTTTTGATTTTCTCCTCTTAACATGGATTCCAGGGATTAAATTCAGATCATTATACTTGCACATCAGCTTCATTGATTGTTTCTATTTTATTTTATTTTATTTTATTTTAATTTTATGTGTATGAATGTTTTGCCTGCATGGATGTCTGTGCACTACATTGTGATTTGTGCCTTCAGAAGCCGGAAGGGTATGCCAGACCCCCTCGACCTTGATTAACAAATGTAGGGGCTGGGACGCAAATTTAGGTCTTCGCCTGCTCTGCAAGTGTTCTTAACTACTTGAACTCTCTCATTTTTTAAATGGCCTTAATATATTGTGATGCATACATTAACTCCTACCTTCATTTCCTTTTCTACCTCTTCCTGCCAAAGCTCTGATTCCTTTGGAAAAGCAGAGGAAACCATAGCCTTCCTAGATTATTGAATTCATACTTAGAAAATCCAGATAATTAGCACCATTCCCTCCCAACTTTGAGTTCCTAATATCTGAGATTCCCTTTCAGCCAGAAATGTCTGGCAGTATATGCAGGTAGCTAATTCATTGAACTCGCTTGAGCAGTATCCAGAAGTACATATGTGATCTGTCTCTCTGTCAGTTTGCCCCACCCCTCTGCCTAGATTCACATCATTCCTTACATTTAGAAGTATATTTTCCTTCCCCATGCATGATATTATTTAAAATTTTATTGCACTTATCATGAGTCTTTGTGTCCGTGTATTTGTGTGCACCTGTCTCGTGCACCTGTACACATGCCATAGTGCATGTGTGAGGGAGGATACAGGATAACTTGCCAAAGTCAGTTCTTTCACAGTATGAGAACCAGAGATTGACAGACTTGATGGCAACTGCCATTATCCACTGAGCCACCTTACCTGCCACACAAATTACACCGGATATCCAGTGTTGTGGAATTATTAGACAGACCCTTTTGTACTCATTTCTAATCCTCTTTTGGGTGTGAGTTTGTAATTAGTTTTTAAATTTTGTATTATTACATGTGTATGTATGAGTGTGTGCGTGCGTGTGTGCATGTGTGCCTGTGTGAGTGAGGGTGTCTGTGTGTGTGTAGGTATGTGTGCATATGCCATAGAGGATGTGAGACTGTCAGATGAGCACTTGTGGGAGTCAGTTTCTCCTTTCATGTGCGGGTCCTGAGGATTGAACTCGGTCTTTGTGGTGGTCACTGTTAGCTAGCTGATGCCATCTTGCCAGCCCTTAATTGTAGTACTACTTTTAATTATGATGCTATAGAACTGTTACCACATAGAGGGATGCAATTGCTTTGGCACCCCAAAATGAAATCTATGCACTGCAGGTTTCATTAATCATGTTTTACTTTTCAAAAATCTTGGTAAACCCATTCTTCTGCCATGTGAATTAGCTGATTGTTGAGTATGAGGAGGATCTTAGAGGGGTCACCAAATCTATTTTGTAAGAGAATATGTTTCTAATATAGAGATTTAATTGTACTATTTTGAACTATATCTTAAGTGTATTTTTCTTCTCCTTCTCTCTCTCTTTCTCTCTCCTTTTTTTTTTTTAAAGAAACTGAGGAAAATTATTCCAAAGCAGTAGAATTAGAAGATAAAAGCCTTGATCCAGTTACAACAGCAGAGACTAAGGAACAGGAGCAGGTGCTATGTGTGCATGATATTGAAGGGGCCAGTGTTTCTCAAGAAGCAGTCCTACCTGCGAGGTAAAGGAGGGAAGGGATGCTGGCATTCATTTTATGTAGCGCCTTAGCTTTCGCCACAGAAGTCCATTGTAGTTAACGTTTTTAAAGTTGGAAACATTACATTAAATGATAATACTTAGTCCTAAAAATAATTCTGTGCTTGGTTGACTGATTGAAAATAATGTACTGAAACTATTTCAGAATTGACGATCTTGAGGAGAACTTGCAAGAAGTTCAAATGTCGGGCACTACAGTTGCTTCATCTGAGATAGGGCAGCACACACTTGATTCCGATCAGGGTCCTGGTGAGCGTGCTGCTGAGGAAGCCCTCAAAGAAAGCCCTGACAGCAGCGGCATGCCCACGCTTCATGTGCCAGAGGTAAAGTGATGTTGAGTGCAGTACCGATGGTGTGCTTGTCCTTTTACGCCTGTGTGGAGGCTCACACTTGTAATCCCAGCTCTCAGGAGTTAGAGACAGGAGACTCAAGTTTGGGTCAACCTGGGTTATATAGCAAGAACTAGGTTAGCCTGAGTTACATAGCAAGACCCCATCTCAAAAAACAAAACACACATTTGATGCCAGCACTCAAGAAGGAGATGTAGACAGATCCTCGTGTCAGATGTATTCCAAGCCTCCTTGCTCCACATAGTGAGACCTTGTGTTTAAAACAAACAAACAAACAAACAAAAACCTCCCAAATACATATAGGTTCATTTAATCAGTTTCATCAGTGACTCCCAAATGCTCTTTGGTCAGCCTCCTTTCTGCTTCCTGCCAGCTCCTAAGCCAGCTCCTAACATCTGTGATTCTAGTTTTACCTTGGCAGGAGTGGACTGTGGACAGGGTGTGGTGATCCTTGCCTGTGCTGAGGGAAGATCATCTCTAGAGCCCAGGAGCTTGAGACCAGCTTTGGCTCTGTAAAAACCAGTCTCAAAAACAGAAACGGGAACATGATAGAATTTTTGTTGTGTTTTGGGACTTTGACCACTCCAAGGCCATAAAACAATGGTTCTCAACTTTCCTAATGCTGTCCCCCTTTAATACGCTTCTTCATGGGGACCCCCATAATTTTGCTGCTACTTGATAACTAATTTTGCTACTTCTATGAATTATAACGTATATATCTAGGGTCAGGATATCTAATATACCTCCGTGAAAGCGGTTTTGAATGACAGGTTGAGAAACACTGTCATAGAAATACAAGTGTTATCTAGCTTTGCTACAAAAGCTTAAGAAATTAATTTCTTGCCTCTTAGCTCTGAATCTTTATATTTCATTCACAGAATGAATGGTTACTGAAATATTGTTACTACATGCTGGACACTTGAGGCACTGGGGTACAAAGCTTTGGGAAACATAAATAATTGAATGGTTTGATACTCAATTGATACCTGGTGTGATAGGTCTGATTGGAACCAGACCTGGGTGGTGTCTTCACCACCAATTTAGTCTCTGGAAAGGAGAGGCATTAATATTGTTTTTAAAAAGTTCCTTGGTTAGGAAAGTACTTGAGCTTTGAAGTACAGAATAAAGTAGCTTATTAAAAGAAAAAGAACATATTTTAAAAATAGGTGTAACACCATGATTTGTTAAAGTAGAAAGTAAGGACTTTATCTACATCAAGATTTGTTTTCTATATTATCTCCACTTTTTTGCTTTTTAACTTTTGCTTTGAAATAATTTCAGACTTAGAGAAAAGTTACAAAAATCTGTCAGAGTTTCCCATACTTTGATTTCTTGGATTCATTGTTAATTTTGTTTCCTTTGTCTGGCTCTTCATCATTATAGATACTTTAATTGTGTATGTACATGTCAGGATGCATGCACATACCATTTTGCTTGTGGAGGTGTCTGTGGGCAGTGCTGGAGTCCTTTCAAAAGAAAGCCTAAGAAGCATTAGAAAATGACAATCTGTTTATTGGTAGTTTGTGGAAAATGGAGCAGCCCACAGGGGAGGCAAAGCGAGTGGCTTGTCTCCACTGAGCTGTTACCTACTCAAGCATCTGCTGCACTGGGAACATGGACAAAGTTGAGTTTGATCTCTTCCCTGACACTGAAAAATTATGGAATAATCACATCTGATAATTTAATTGGGCTATTTTAAGTTCTTTTAAGATAAGCCTGTAAGTTTGGAGACACTGTCTCTCTACTATATGTCAAACTGTCAGAAACTTTCTCAAGCTTCAGTTTCAATTTTTTTTTTAAATGGCAGAGTGTACCATCAAATATTCCAGAAGTCCAGCAAGAAAACACGAGTCCTCAAGATGTTACAGGTATGAAAGGCTGCCTCCAGTGAAGTGACATAGTTAATGTGTAGAATAGTTTTTAATTTTAGCCTGTTTTTCTTTTTAGATAGGGTCTTTCTTTATAGTCTTGGGTGTCCTGGACCTTGCTAAGTAGACTAGATTGTCCTCAACGTCACAGAAATCCTCCTGCCTCTGCCTCCCTAGTGCTAGCATTACAGGCATATTCCACTACACTTGGCTTTCATGTAACTATGGGGGAAAAAAAGCACAAATTTAAAATAAGCCAATGGCAGTTATAAGATACAAATGTAAAGTTCATCAGTTTTACTCAAAATTATAAAAGCTTCCCACAAAATAACCTGTGTAAGCTTTTAGGGTTCGGGGGTGTGTTTTATTTTTTTACTTAGCTTTTGCATTGTAAGTTATGAGAATCATTTGAGAGATGAAATAAATGATTTTGTATTATTTCTTGGTTTAGCTTTTCATTGCTAACTTTTAACTTCGACAGTGAATCTGTTTGCTAATGTAGAGCAAGATGGAGAAGATGAACAAGCATTCATTTTAACTTTGGTGGAAATCCCAACTAATGTAACAGAAGGATTTACTGATGCCTCCATGCAGTTAATGCCAAGCTCTCTGCTGCCAGCACCTATCTTGGTCAGATCTGGGAACACAGCAGAAAGAGGTGACCTGAGGTAAAACAGTTAAACCTTTTACCAGTTAAAAAGATGCTGTGTGAGTCAAGTATTTACCCAACTATACTCTAGCATTTTTATTTGTGTTAATAGTGAATGCTGCTCCTTGTGACATTTGCGTGTATGAAGATGGTGCTTGACCATGTCTGGTCTCTCTTCTGCCCTCTGTCAGCCGCCCTAAAGTCCTGCTTTTGCAGGATTTGTTGTTTCTGTTTTTAATGTCTACATATGAGAAAAAAAATGAGATTGTTTTTCTACGTATAGGTTATTTCACATAACAAAGTGTTCCAGGTCTGCTCATTTTTTGGTAGTCACAAATTTTATTTTTCCTTTTGGTTGAGTAATAAATACCTGTATGTATGTATGTATGTATGCATGTATGTATGTATGTATGTACATGTACACACGTGTGTGTGTTTCTGCGTGTGTGTGTGTGTGCGCGTGTGTGTACATGCACACATGTGTGTAGGTACCCGTAACATTTTCTATATCTACTTATCTGTTGATGGGTTCTTGGCCTGATGTCATAGTTTCCATAATTTGACTGGTACTAATAGTATTGCAGTAAACGTGTATTTGGGTATTTCTTTTTGCATGTTGATCTCATTTCCTTCAGATCGACATGTATGTAGCTCATAAGGTAGGTCTATCTTTAGATTTTTGAGAATCTCCCATTGTGTTTTATGTAAAGGGTGTGCTGATTTCTACTCCCAGTAGTAGGGTGTAAGTTTTTTCACATTATTGCCAACATTTATTTATTTCGCCTTTTATTTGGTTTTGTTCAATAACAGCTATTTAGACTGGGATAAGACAGTTTGATGTAGTTTTGGTATTGCATTTTTTTCATAATTTTCATAATTTTGTTGAACTGTTGTGCTTTTGAGAAGTTAAAACCTATTGTGATCAGTTGTCCACTTTTAATTTAGTTGTTAAGTTAGTGCGTATTGGTTATATAAAGACAGGTGTTTCATTATGACACTGGATACATGCAGCTACATGGGTCTGGCTATGTAGCCTGGCTTGGGTTTATTTAGTCTTCCTGCCTCAGCCTCTTGAGTAGTGGGATTGTAGGTATGATTACATAACTACATTTTTAAAAAATTCTGTCTATGGGCTGGCAATGTAGCACAACAGGTAAAGCCACTTGTTTGCAAGCCCGATGACCTGGTGTGATCCCCAGAACCCAGATGGTGGAAGAAAACTCTTGCAAGATGTCCTCTGAACTCAACACATGCATTGGCACATATGCCGCCTTCTTCCTGGTGCACAGACAAATCAGAAAAACATTGTTTGTGTATTTCTCTATTAATCATATTGTGGTACATAGCTGCAAACAATTTCCTGTACTTCTGTAGTTTGTTCTACTTTATTTCTTTTATTTCAGAAGCTCTATAATTTGGTTTAATTCCATTTGTTCATTTGTACATTTGTTTCCTGAGCTCATGGAGCCACATGTTTCTGTGTTCCCTTCTTGTATTCTCCCTCCTCCCTCCCTCCTCCCTCCCTCCCTCCCTCCCTCCTTCCTTTCCTCCCTCCCATCCTTTCTTTCTTTCTTGGAATGATCTTTTATTGGAGGAGGGTTCATCAACCCTTCTTGACCGCTGCTTCTTCATTGCTACCAGCACGCTGCTCAGCTCCTCCCGATTTGTCTTGGCGCGGATATGCCTGCCCACCCTCTTCTTGATGCACTTGAGTGTGGACTTGTCCTTGTACACTTGGAGCAACTGTGTGGCTCGTAAGGGCCTGAAACCACACACCTCCCAGATCACGTCCCCCACGAACTCGGTGTGCTTGGGGCGCAACACTGGCTGTGTCTCGGCCTGCTGACATTCTTGTCACCTTGTGGCTCTTGTTGTTGTCTTGAGGCCCACAGGGCCATGGCTGCCGCTCTCTGATGGTGGCCAGGACAGGAAGCTCCTTCTTGTATTTTTAAAGTTCTAAGACTTACATTCAGGTTTTGATCTATTTAGAGTTAGTGGTATATTGGATGAGGCAAAGCGGTCTAGGTTTTTTTGTTCGTTTGGTTTGGTTTTGAGGGCTTTTATTTTGGTTTGTGTTTAGATTTAGTGTGTATGTGTGAGTGTTTTGCTTGCATGTATGTGTATGTACCGTCTTTATGCACCTGATTCCCTTGGAGGCCAAATTAAGGCATCAGATGCCCCTGGAGCTGGAGTGTTGTGAACTGTGATGTGCTGGGGACTAAACTCAGTTCCTCTGCAAGAGCAACAAGTGCTTTTAATGACAGTTATATCTCTAGCCCCAGGGATACCCCCCCCCCCCATCCTGGCCTTCTCCCCCACTCCCCCAACACACACTCAATGTTCTGCTGTTTTGTTACTGTGGTTATATGCATTTTTGTATTTTTTTCTAGTTCTGTAGAGAATGAATTCTTTGGTATTCTGAAGGAAATTGTATTGACTCATAGATTGCTACTACTGTGATAAAACACAGATCAAAAGCAACTTTGAGGGAGGAAAGAACTTATATTTTACCTTACAAGTTTTAGTCCATCATTGAGGGAAGTCAGAACAGGAACTGGATGGAGGACCTGAGGCAGAGGTCATGGAGGAATGCTGCTTACTGACTTGCTTAGTTTGTTTTTTTCAGGGGCACCCGCCCAGAGCTGGCACCACCCCAGGGGCCTGGGCACTCTATCATCAGTGGTTAATAAAGAGCTGCTTCACAGACTTGCTGCAAACCATTCTTAGTGAGGTATTTTCTCTATTGAGGTAGCTCTTCCCAGATGATCCTGACTTGTTTCAAATTGATAAAAATTCTAACCAGTGTAGTAGTTTTGGCTAGCACAACTGGTTAAGCAATTTTAACTCCCCAGTCCATGAACCTGGAAGATAGTTCATCCTCTAGTATCTTTAGTTTCTAAAGTGATTTTCATTTCAGTCTTTAAAGTCTTTCACCTGCTATAGGGTTTTGTTTTTTTTTGTTTTTGTTTTTCTGTTTTGTTTTGTTTTGTTTGGCTGTAATGAATGGAATTCTTTTTCTGGTTTCATTCTCAGTGATTTTATTATTGGTATATAGAAATGTTATTGAAACTGGGTTATGGTAGCCCGTGCCTTTAATCCTAGCAGAGGCAGAGAGGCAGGTGGATCTCTGAGTTCAAGGTCAGCTGGTCTATAGAGTGAGTTCTAGGACAGCCAGGGCTACGCAGAGAAACTGCCTTGAAGACACCCCTTCCCCAAAGAATTGTTACTGAATTTTGTAAATTTATTTTTGTAAGCTACTTTGCTGCATTTATTTCCCTGTGTGTAGAATATTATCATCTGCACACAGGGATAGTTTGACTCTCTTCCTTTTATTGTCTCTTTCATCCTTTTAATTTATTACAGCTAGAGTTTCAAGTTAATTGGAGTGTGAAATCTGTCTGATTCTGGATCTTAGATTAAATGCTTTCATTTTTGTTCCATTTGATAGGTTGTCTGTGAATTCATCATCTCTGTCCTCTATTGTGTTGCAGCATCTTTCTAGACATAACTATTGAGGAGTTCTTATTATGAAGGTATATTGAATTTTATCAGACTTAATTCTTCATCTATTGAGGTGATTATGTAATATTTATTCTTGATTATATTTATATGCTGTTATTGATTAGTGATATTAAATCATCCTCACTCTTAGGAATGAAATTCTCTAGATCATGGTATGCAATCTCTCTAAGATTTCTTTTCAGCTGAATAAATATAGATTAAGGAAAAGTGAAAACTGGAGAGAGTATGACAAGTTAAAAGGGAGAATACTTATTTAATTCCACCTGCAAATATTTTATTGAAGATTTCTATATTGTATGTAGCAAGGATATTGGTTTATAATTGTCTTTATTGTGTTAGGTTTTGCAAGGTCATACTGGCTTCATAGAGTGAGTTTGAAAGAGCCTCGTTTTGTTCAGTAGATTGATTTCTTTTTTTAATTTGATAAGATTTAGTAGTGAATTTCTTTGGTTCTAAGATCTTTATTGAGTTACTTTTTATAACTACAATCTCAAGTCTGTGTTGGTTATTAATCTAATTAGGGTTTTTTTTTTTTTAATATCCCCTTACTTTGGTTTTAGTAGATCATATGCACCAGACATTTGTGTATTTCTTTTAGAGGTTGTAATTTATTGGCATATGGTTTTCAAAATATTCCTTAATGGTCCTTTTAATTTCAGTGCTATTGTAATGGCTGTCTTTCAGCATTTTCAGGACAGGCTTTCTCTTTTTTCTGGCAAAGCGTCTGCTTTATTTCGTTGATCCTCTCTTTCACTTTCCATCTTCTGTTTCTGGATTCAGCCTTCTTAAAGCCTTGCTTGCACGCTATAATTTGGTGGGGGGTTTTGTTTGTTTTATGGGGTGTGTGTGCGCGTGTGTGCGTGTGTGTGTAGGCCAGAATACGACTTTGCTTTTGAGACAGTCTATCACTGGCCTGGACTTCACCAAATAGGCCAGTCTTGTTGGTCAACGAGCCTCAGCCATTAGCCTTTGTCCACCTCTAACCCTGGGAATACATGCATGCCACCATGCCCAGTCTTTTTTATGTGAATTCCTAACATTGATTTCATGCTTTCGGGGCAACTACTTTGCCAGTTGTGTTATGCCTCCACTCTTATTTTTCTTTTGAATATTAATTTAACTGTCTTAGCTATAAACTTTCTACTATAAAGCTATAAACTTTCCTTTATAGGAACTGGAATCACAGACGGTTGTGAACTACCATGTGCATGCCAGAAAGTAAACTGAGGTCTTTAAGAACAGTGTTCTCGACTTCTTTTCTTTTCCTTCCTTCCTTCCTTCCTTCCTTCCTTCCTTCCTTCCTTCCTTCCTTCCTTTCTCCCTCCCTCCCTCCCTCCCTCCCTCTCTGTCTCTCTCTCTCTGTCTCTCTCTCTCTGTCTCTCTCTCTCTCTTTCTTTCTTTCTTTCTTTCTTTCTTTCTTTCTTTCTTTCTTTCTTTCTTTCTTTCTTTCTTTCTCTCTCCTCCTCCTTTTTTTTTGTTGTCCGATTTTAGACAAAATCGATTTTCCTTATGTACTCTTGGCAGTCCCGGAGCTCTCTATAAAGTTCATTCTAGCCTCAAACTCAACAGAGATGCCTCTGCCTTTCTGCTGTTAAAGGAGTGCATTTTTACCCAGACACGTACTCTTGACTGCTGAACTGTCTCTTCAGCCCTTTACTCTGCATGTTTTCAGACAGGGATCTCCCTGATTTAGACTGACAGGTCAGTGTCTCACTGCTCCTTCCCTCCACAGGAATCAAAGCTCTAAGGTCACAGACTGGAGCTCTCTACTCAGACCTCCATTCTTGTGGTGGGCACTTTGCTCCACAAATTCCAAAGTTCCTTGATTCTAGGAGATTTGTATTTTCCCTTCTGATTTCTTTAATCAAATCTTTGTGCATGTATAGTATTAAATTTCCATGTATATATCCACTTGATCTTAGTGCAACTTAAAGTATTTCTTTGACGGTGTTTTGTCTGTCTGGTTGATCTGTGTTGTTAAGAGTTGGGTATGGAAAGACACTGTTGCTGTATCAGGGCCTATCTTTCCTTTACCTCAATGTTGTCTTATACAAGTGAGTACTATGACAGTCACTGACATTGTTGGTGATTGTTGTGGAGATCTTACTTAGTAATTATGTAGTAACTTACAGAAGACAATGTGCTTTTATATTTGATGACGGTGTCATTTAAATGTGTATACTTGAGACATGTACAGTGGCACATGCCTTTCTTTAATCCTAGCACACAGGAAGCAGAGGCCAGCCTTGTCTATATATATATATATAGAGAGAGAGTTTCAGGATATCCAGAGTTAAATGAAAGATCCTGTATTAAAACCAGGAAAAGCCAAAACCAACCAAACAATCAAAAAACAACCCAAAAGTGTATCTGCCATACAGTTCTGTTTTGTTGCTTTTGAGGCATGAGCTAATGTGCTATTTTTCTCATGTGACACTTATTTGATGTGTTATTGTAGAATTAAAGCTTTTAGACAAGGAAAATGCTTTATGTGTTCTTTAAATTTAATTCAGTGTTGTTGAATTTAAGTTGTAAGCCTTTAAGTGTGAATGCACACCCCAAACTATTTACTAGCTTGTATTTCTGATACTCATGAGGCCTTTCATTGGAATAGTGACTTCATTAAGCAGTTTCTAATTCACTGGTTTTGCATGTACTTGTTTTCTATGCAGCGGGAGTTTACAAGCCTCTTCAGTTGTTCAAGATGCTACGTGCTTATCTCCATCTAAAAGTGGCGATTCTGAAAAGCCGCCTGCTAATTTGGATCTTACATCTAGGAAGAGATCTTGTTGCAGTCCTGATGAAAGTATTCATGTTCCTCCTGCTAAAAAGCCCTCAATTGCTCCAGGAATTGATTATCAAGAATGTACCTCTGAGGTAAGATCAAGTTATTAAGTAAGTGCCCTGGCCACATTGCCAAGGATCTGTTTCTATTTTTCCCATCTATCTCTAAACCTTTATACATACATACATAATACATCATACATAAGTACATAATACACATATACATACATACTAATGTATAGACATATGAAAAATATTTGACACTTATCATTACATATATATAATCCAAGTCAAGGTAGCTTGAGATGATCATTTTTAACCAGTTCAAAAAAGTAATTGAACATTGAAAAGTAATCAGGAAACCTACAGTGGCTGAAAATAAAGCTAATAGCTTCCTGTTAGTCTAGATCTTTACTCTCCCACCTGCCTAGTCACTGTGGGCTGTAGAGTAACAACTTCAGGGCTCTGAATGAACTCTCTAAACTGTGAAAGTAATAGTAGTAATATTCCCCTCCTCATCCTACATTAGCATTTTCTCTCTCTCTCAGGAATAAAACCACATACTCCAAAGCTTAATGTTGTTTTGTGCGTGTGCGTCTCCACCTCACTCTCTAGCCACATGGGCCCTCTCTCACCTCCCTGACTGCTCTGTAAATCCATCATGTCCTGAGGCGGTTCATCTGCTCCCCTTTGTGAGGAATATTTCCTCATGAAACATTACAGACTTAGCTCAGTCAGCATTGACACCAAGAGAAAAAAAGACAGGGAGGAGGAACTTTTCCTACACAATATTTTATTGTTAAAGTTAAAACAAAGCTTATCAAATAAAATCACAAATAAACCCAGCAGATTTCTCTTATTTAAATCTTATTATTTTTATGTATAATACCTTGTCTGCATGTATATCTGTCTGTGCATGATGTGAGTGTCACATGTACCTGTGGATACCACAGGGAGTCCAGTCAGACTACATCTATGTCCCCGGTTACTGTACAAGTTTCCCGGTTTTGGTTTTGTTATTTTTTTAATTTAATATCAATATTATGGTATTGCTCCTAATCTGTAACTTCATTCTAAAAGTTGCATTTAAAATTATGTTCTGAAAGGAGAAGTTGAAGTTAACAGTTTTTGGTAGTAGATAAAACAAGTGCTATTGTTATTTATCTGGTAGGAAAAATTTGGTATTCCAAATTCTTAATATTTTTTTGTGTTTATTAGTAAGATTAAGCATCTTTCCATGTATTTAAGTACTACTTATCTCTGTCTGATTCTTTCTCTGTGAAATGACTTCTATATTCTTTTTAATTTTTTTAAAGATTTATTTATTTATTATATATGAATACACTGTAGCTGTCCTCAGACACACCAGAAGAGGGCATCAGATCTCATTACAGATGGTTGTGAGCCATCATGTGGTTGCTGGGATTTGAACTCAGGACCTCTGGAAGTGCAGTCAGTGCTCTTAACCACTGAGCTATCTCTCCAGCCCATATATTCTTAACTTGTTTCTAAAATGTATTACTGATCTTTTTCTTTTTTTATTTATTTTTTGAGATGGAGTTTCCCTGTGTTGCCATATCTGTCCTGGAACTCTCTATAGACCAGGCTGGCCTCGAACCCAGAGGCCTGTCTCTGCTTTCCAGAATTCTGGGATTAAAAGTGTATGCCACCACACCTGGCATTACTTTTTTTTACTGATACTAAAGGACTTCTGTGGTTTTTTTTTTTTTTTTTTTAATTTTTTTGTTTTAAATATGTGTATGTTAATGAGATTCAAATATTTAGATTTGTTTTTGTTTTGCTTTGTTTTGTTTTTTGGTTTTTCAAGACAGGGTTTCTCTGTGTAGCCCTGGCTGTCCTGGAACTCACTCTGTAGACCAGGCTGGCCTTGTACTCAGAAATCCGCCTGCCTCTGCCTCCCAAGTGCTGGGATTAAAGGCATGCGCCACCACTGCCCGGCTAGATTTGTTTTTTAAGTCTACCTTTTTCATATAGATTTTTTTTAAAGTAACTTTTTCTGTTTCACTTTATTCTTTTATAAGTTACTTGGCCCATACTGGGCTTCCAGTTGGAAAATGGAAAGCCAGCATAGAGCAGAAAGACTCTTCTGTGTGTCGCTGTTTACTGGTGCATTGCTGGGAACTAATCTGGGAACTGACTTGTGCAAGACAGGTGCTTTAGTACTGAACTATACCCAGGTCTGTTGGCAGACTTTGTTGTTTCATTTTTCTAGGGCAGTGTCTAGCAGTGGAACTCAGATTGGCCTGGAACTTGGAGTAGCCCAGGCTGCCCTCAAACTTATGATTGTCTTGCCTTAGCCTTGCTAATGGTGAGATGATAGTCATGTACCCTCTTCCTGGGTCTTATCAGAAGTGAGACAGAGTTCTCTGATGTGTGTATGTTTCTGCCTGCCTGCCTGCCTGTCTGTCTGAAAGTCATGAACCTCCTGGTTTAGTGACTAGAGCAGTGGTTCTCAACCTTCCTAATGCTGCAACCCTTTAATACATATAGGTCCACATGTTGTGGGACCCCAACCATAAAATTTTTTCATTGCTACTTCATAACTATAATTTTGCTATCATTATGAATCATAATCTAAATATCTGATATGCAGGATACCTGCTATATGACTCCCAAAGAGGTCAAAACCCATAGGTTTTCCTCTGTTTTAAAGTATTTAGATTATGGTTATGTATCAGCATTTGTGATTCATAAATTTTGATTTGCTATAGGAAAAAAGTTTTAATTAGTACACTGTGTACTGTGAGGGGACAGTGACATAGGCAGTAATATTTAATATTGTTCACTATAACTTTTTTTTTTAAGATTTTTTACTTTATTTTATATGTGTGAGTACACTGTAGCTGTTTTCAGACACACCAGAAGAGGGCATCAGATCCCATTACAGATGGTTGTGAGCCACCATGTGGTTGCTGGAAATTGAACTCAGGACCTCTGGGAGCGCAGTCAGTGCTCTTAACCACTGAGCCATCTCTTCAGCCCCTTTATCTTTAATTTTTAAGGGATACATGCAGGAGCAGGGTGAAGACTCTGTGGATAACGAGCATACTTGAATTCAAGCATGAGAACTGTGTTCCGTGTCTAGCCATCTACTAGAAATGCCAGGCATGGTGGCATGCGCTTGTAATCCTCGTGCTGGGCAGCCACAGGAGGATCCCTGGGGTCAAGCAGTCTAGGCTGATGTTCAAAGAGGTGACAGTGTTTCTGAGGCTGATCTGTGGACGGTCCCAAAGGCAGTCCTCTGACTCCACCCATATTCACCTTACTCCCTACTCATAGAAAAAATGTAATGTACAAATGAAAAATGCATGTTGTCATCAGTGTGTTGAAATATGCACAGGGCTGAAGAGTTGTTCTTGCACTTGTTCTTGCAGAAGACCTGGGTTCAGTTTCCAGCACCCCCATGGTAGTTCACAACTATAGGTAACTCCTGCTCAGTGGAGCTGATGCCCTCCTCATCTGATCTCCAAGGGCTTCTGACACTCACATCATGCACAGACATATATGCAAACAGGATGTTAGACATAAAAATAATAAGATTTAAGAAAAAGAAAAAATGTGCTCAGTTTATGATTTTATTTTATAAACTTTGTTTTAACTTTAACAAAATATTTTGTATAAAATATTCCTCTCTGTCTTTTTTCTTTCTTTTGGGATAAGTAGAATCTGGTTATATAGCCCGGGCTGGACTCAGAACTCAAGATTATTCTGCCTCTGTCTTCCAGGATGGGATTATAGATAAATGCTAGCACAGCCAGGTTTCTCCTACAAAGTAGCATACTTGCAGAAACCTTATTTTTTTCTAAAGAATGGATAATTCTGTAAATGTGATTTTTCTCCTTTTGAATTATATTAGACTGGGTAAAGTCATGAAGTAGACTTTTATCATGTTGGAGCATCTTTGCGTTTTTGAAACAGACTACTAATTGACCATGATGTATTAGTTTGAGTTGAGGGCTCAGGGATGTACTTCTGTGGTAGAGCTTAGCCTGTGTGAGACCCTGGCTGGGATACTCAGCTCCATAAATGTGAAAAATTTGTTTCATTTGAGATTTGGTGGTTGGTATCAATATTATGCAAGAGATAAATGACGTATGGCAGCTTTCTCTTTTCCAGTGTGCTCCAGAGCAGTTTAAATAGCAGCAATATAGTTTTTCACAGATATTTTAATTTGAGGTATAATTCTACGTCTAACTCTAGAGCATGCTCAGAAGTGCTCGTTTTCTCTGCAGCATGATGGAGAGGATGGAATTGTAATTTACATAATTGGATTTCTAAAACTTTTTGTATATTTTTTTGAAACAGGTATGTTCAGAGGAATTCAATGTTTTTGAGAAAACAGGTGAGTGAAATAAATTTAAATAAGACTATATTTTGTTAAGTACCCTTGCTTTCTATTTATTTATTTATTTATTTATTTATTTATTTATTTATTTATTTATTTTAATAAGAGCCATCACCATGGGTAAAACAGATATCTGATAAACTTTAGATATACTAAATTTTATCTATCCTTATCTATGTTTGTATTTAGAAGCTTTTTCTTATGTCTCACTCTAAGGTTTAGAGTAAGACCTTTGATACATTTTAAATTGAGTTTATACAGGATAAGGGATAGCTAACTAGCTTCACTCTGTATGACAGTAACTAGTTTTCTCAGCACTTTTTGTTGGATAAACTAGGCTATTTTCAGTGTTTTAGTACCTTTATTGAAAATCAGGTGTCTGTAGCTGTGTATTTATTTCTATTTTATTCTACTGTACTACATGGCTGTTTTTGTAGTAATATGTGCTGTTTCTATTATAATTGTATTAGTATCTTTGGGAGAGGGATGATCTGGTTTACTGTTAATGCTTTCCGTGGTAGTTTTGACTTGATTTACTCTTTTGATCCCCAGCATTTTCTCTGTGTTCTCTCTCCTCTGTGTCCCTGCTCCTCACAGCCTCCACTTTCAACCCTCAAGTCTCTGTTTCCCTGCCTGCCTTTACACCCCTGTTGCTGAGTCCTCTCTGGGCCCCAAAGTGATTCTTTACTTCATTTATTTGGTGCTTGCGTCTCTGACATAGTTGATGAGTTTTACTCGTAGACTTGAGTCATGCATTTCCCAGCTCAGGAGGAGTCTTGCTGCCTTGCTGTTTCATGTTCCTTGTGCTTCTGTGCTTCTGTGCTGTAGTGTGTATGTGGGCGGGGCCAAGAGTTGGTTTTCTTTTTATTTATTTATTTATTTATTTATTTATTTATTTATTTATTTATGAATATACTGTAGCTGTCTTCAGACACACCAGAAGAGGGCATCCAATCTCATTACGGATGGTTGTGAGCCACCATATGGTTGCTGGGATTTGAACTCAGGACCTCTGGAAGAGCAGTCAGTGCTCTTAACCTCTGAGCCATCTCTCTAGCCCGAGAGTTGGTTTTAAGATGGTCTTATTGTCTATTCCTGGCTGTTTTTGAACTTATGGCAACCTTTCTGCCATCACCTCCCAATTGCTGGGATTCTGGGCATGTATTGTCACACCCAGGGTCACAATATGTAGCCTCAGCTGGCCCGGAACTCATTGTGTACACCAGGCTTACCTCACAGAGATGCCTGGCCTTGGTCCCTTGTTTTCTCTGCTTAGCCTTTCTATTACAGCATGCTGTTTAGCTGTCCTGTGATCTCTTTTGCTTTTGCTCTCTTGCTCTTTTTCCCTTTGATGTAAAGTCTATACTTTGTTTTCCTGACTTTTGTTGGTCCTGGAGTCACATGATGGCAGTGTTGATTCGTTGTTTTGGCAACCTCCCTCATACTAAAGTCCTTTTTCTTGTTCTGTCATTCGTCCATCTGTCTGTCTCTGTCTCTTTCCCTCTCTCTCCCCTTCCCTCTCTTCTCTCCCCTTCCTCTATTTGTTTCTTTCTTCCTTCTTGAGATAGTGTCTCACTCTATAGGACTCTCTGTGTAGCCCAGGCTGGCCTCAAACTCATAAAGCAGTCTTTTTGTTTAGCCTTTCGGTGCTAGGATTACAGGCTTGCACCCCTGTTTCCTGTTCTAATCCATAGTTCCTAATAGTCTATCCCACTGACTAGAACATATCATCTTTTCTGAGCTGGATCTGTTACAGAACACCATGGGTTTTTCCTTCAGATACTCCAATTTAGTTGACTTCTTTTTTTAAATATTTCAATATTTCAAATCTCTCTCCTCTCTGTTTTTTCTCTTTGAAAAAGATTCTTGCATGGGACAAGGCATTTTTCCTACCTCAGAGAGCACATATGCAACCTCAGAAACTCAAAAGGAACACAATGAACCAACTTTTCAGAATACAGAATCATCTGGATCTCTTGAAGAAATAAAAAATGCATGTATAGAAAACACCATGACTCAATTGCCTCAGAGTGAGATAGTATCTGATAAAGAGGAGAAGGCTGATCCTGCTTCCAATTCTGAACAGAGGAACAGCGTGAAGTCATCTTCAAAACCCCCTCTGACCAGGTATTATTAGAGACTCTGTACTGACTATCTTTCTGTCCACAGGATAAAACCCAGAACTAAGTTGTTTTATAGATGTAGCCTTCATCAGTTATGTAAAGAGAAGACAGTTTAGCCCAAGACCTACAGAAATAGTCCAGGTATACATTCTATATGACTGGAGCTTGGCTCTACTGAAACTGACTGTGTCAAACAGCAAATCCTTAGACATTTGCACTTCTTTTCCAGTCTGTTTGTAGTCTTTGTTTTGATGAATACACATTGTATTGTATGAAGCAAACATGTAGCTGAGATGAGACAACATAGAGTTGGTGTCCTGTTACTCTGGAAGTTCTTGTATTCAATTTCCAAGTAGTGTGTCGTTTTGTTTCCTTATGGCTTTTAGTATGGTTTCTCGTATGGTCCATACTTAGTGCTGCCACATCGCTTTCACATATACACTAGAGAGAAGGCTTTAGGGTAATTAGTAATTACTGTTGCCAGCTCATCAGAAACTTTAACCTGGTAAGTCTAGGATAGCAGCCACTAGCTTTCACTAAAGGGAAAAAGACGTGTATCTTTAGAAGGCTTATTTTCAAGCTGAGCACAGTGAAACTTACCTTTAATCCCAGCACTAAGTAGGTAGATCTCTGTGAGTTTGAGGCCAGCCTTGGACTGGTTACATAGTGAGTTCCAGAACAGCAAGAGTCTACATAGTGAGACCTGGTCCTGAAACAAACAAACAAACAAACAAACAAACAAACACACACTGGCTGAATGCTGGCGTAGGCCTTAAATTACAGCACCTGGGAGACAGAGGCATATGGATCTCTGAGTTCGAGGCCAGCCTGGTCTACAGAGTGAGTTTCAGGACTGCTAGGGCTATACAGAGAAACCCTGCCTTGAAAAAAAAGAAAACCAAAACCAAACCCCAAACAATACAAAAGCTCATACAGACCATTCTTAGGCTTCAGGGCTCTGTGAGTTCTGTTGAGGCACAGAAGCAGCTGTGCCATGGACTCAGTATGTCTCCTACAACTTAGTCATAGTGCATATGACTCAGGCCTTACCTGTATTAAATCCAGAATTCCATTTTGATAATACTACCCACGTAATTCATATGCACTTCTAAGCTTAAACAACCTTGCCTGTGTGTCAGATATACATCATAGTTTAGTGTCATCAGTACTTGGTAAAGTATACCACTTTAGCATTGATAGAAATAAAATTATATTAAGAATGTGTCTTTTTCTTTTTTGTAGTTTTATGAGGCATAGTCTTCACTATGTATTCCAGCCTGGCTTGGGACTAAGAGACTCACCTGCCTCTGCCTCTTGAGTCTTGGAATTAAAGGCATTGTTACCACCGTGCCTGACAAAAGAATGTGCCTTGCTGAGTGGTAACATGTGCCTGTTACCACAGCATAGCAGTGCTTAAGAGACTGAGTCAGGGACACCTTAGCTATATGTAGAAAGGCTTCCTATCAAATCAGCAGCAAAAGCAGTGTGTGTGTGTGTGTGTGTGTGTGTACCTACCTGTATATATTTGTCTGAATCTTTGTGTATTCATTTCTAGACCTGGCAGAAGGCCTTTGGGATTTTTATCATTAATATGTCCAAAAAATAGTTTGGAATCTGATGAAGTGATCCAAACTCACAGTAAGAAGCGCCTAAAGCCTCAAATACCTGTATCACAACGAAATTTGAAGAAACCTAATCCACTTACTGCAAGCCAGAAAAAAAATCGGGAGTCTTCAGATCCACTCCCATCACCAAGTGTTCCTGATACTCTGTCTGATAATACTGGAAGTTCTGAAAGTTCGGCAGCTCAGGTATGTGAGAACTATTGTATTTTATTGTGTATGAGATACATCTATCATCTGAACAAGGGAAGAAAAAACAAGTTTATTTTTAGTTGTAGTTGGATGTCAGAAATTATTTTAGTCCAACTTCGGTTTACCACAAAAATGTAGCTGATTTAGTATGAGCTATTGAACTAGCCAGAAATGGAGCACTTATTTGCAATTCTTCAATCCAACTCTCTGACCCATAGAAGCAAAATCAAGTACTAACCGTAGTGTTATTTGTCTTGGGAAAAAAAGTCCTGACTCATAAAAATTCAAAAAACTAGAAACGCAGTTTGTAGCTCATGCAGAGATGTAGAATTCGTATGTTATTTCTGTGCACCCTCAGTCTGTCTAATGGCAAGTTCTAGGATGAGAAAGAAATCTATGTCCCTCTACTTACTGACTTATCACTGCTAGAATATTATCATCACTTCTGCAGTGCTGGTGATTTAACTCAGGGCTTCACACATTCTAGGAAAATGCCTTCCTTATGATCTCCCTTGTCAGCATTAGCACCATCCTCAGGAATATGACAGAACACTGGTAGCTGTTAGCAGTGTAACATAGCATGTAAGTGTCTCAACGTAAGCCAAGTCCTGTGCTCATCCGACTGTTTTAGCAGTCTATTCATGAAGTGTATCATTTCAGAAATTGAATTACACATTTAAGATTAGGGTTCCCCTACTGCTAACACAGCACCTGCTTACCCAAATATTCATTCAGGTAGTTTTGTATATTACTAATTTGTTGATTTTTCTGGTAGTTTGTTTTACTTATTTTTTGTTTGTTTTTACTTTTATTATTTTGAGGTGACATTTCATTATATAGCTTGAGCTATCTTATAGAACTCACAGTATAGCCCGGGTTGGCCCTGGAAATTCTGATCTTTATTTCTGACTCTAGTACCTCATTACCTTTTGTTGCAAACTAGTATTCTGTGGTATGGATTTATCACAATGTGGTTTTTGTTTGTTTTTATTTGAAACAGGGATTTTAAGACTGACCTGTAACTCACTCTGTAGACCCGGCTGTCCTTGAACTGAGGTCTACCTGCCTGCTGGAATTAAACACTCAGTTTCTTTTATTCCCTTATTACCTGTAGAAGGACCTCTCCGTTCTTTTAAGTTTTTTACCATTTTGAGCAGAGGTGATGTGAACATTCATGTATGTCTACATAGAAACATATATTTTTATTTTTTAATGATAAATGTGTAAAAGTATTCTCATTATTGGTTTTTATTTTTAATCTGACTCAAAAATCTCAATAATAAAGCTTAATCCTCTTGACTCAGGCATCTGAATGTGGGAATTACAGGCTTCTGCCACCATATGTCGGCCTGTCTGTAATAACTCCATGGCATTCCATTATTGTGTTGTGCTGATTAGTAATACTGATTTTATATCATAAGCATGTTCCTAATTACGTGCCATATCAAAAAGCATAGTAATAGTTGTCTTATATCACTTTACCTGTTCATCTTTAGACTTGATAGATATTTATAGAACAGTATAGAATATAAACGTTTGTTCTGTTAGTAGATAGAATTAGAAGTGCTTGGTTAAAGGAAGGATGAGTGCTTGTTCAATAGACTCTACTGCTCTGTTGTCATGGGGATATGGCAGTGACTATGTATTAATAGCTACACGACCACTGCGCCCTCCGCTCCTAACCCAGCACACACACTTTTCTTTTAGATCATGATCTTACTCGTTAACCCCAGCTGATTTTAGCTGGAATCCAAGGGTTTAAGATGACAGAAATGTCCTCCCGTGACCATTCATTCTCTAGCATTTAGGAGCACATACTTGTGTGCAGTTGGACTTGTATGAGAGTCAGTCATTCTCTTTTCTGGGTATTTGACTTAAGGAAAACTTGTCTTTTATTTTCACAGTGATTTGTAGACTATCTTAAGAATATTAAGGAAAAAGTGTGTTTTATAATACAGGTTGAAATATTTTTCTGTATGTCATGTATATTTTTATTTTGTTTGGTTTTGCCATACAGATATTTTTTAGTTTTGTGTAGGTAAATTTGTCAAAAGCATTTTGCCTTCACATTTTGTAATCATTTCAAAAGATATCCCTTTCCACAATCTAAGAGATAAAAATATCTTTCTGTGGTTTGTTCCAATAACTTTTTGTTGTTTTGTTTATTTGTTTGCTCGAGACAGGGTTTCTCTCTGTAACAGCCCTCAAACTCACAGAGATTCATCTGCTTCTGCCTCTGGAGTACAAGGAATAAAGGGTGCGCCACCACTACCTGGCCGTGGATTTACATTTAAGTCTTTGCATCATTAGAATTTTTTTGTGTAAGGTATAGGCCTAACTTTCCAGCACATGGGTGTATAGTCAATAGTCAGTATTTATTGAATACCCCAACTTTTCTCATTTTATAAAACTTTTATTTTTTTGGAGACAGGCTCTCACTATGTAGCCTTGACTAGCCTGGAACTCACTGTGTAGACTAAGCTGGCCTCAGACTCATAGAAATTCACCTGCCTCTGTCCCAAGTGCTGGAATTAAAGATGTGCACCATATTTTTTAAATCATATTTTAATTCTTGTGCTCCTTCCTATCCCTGAGACCCCTCAACAGATCTTCCTCCCAACTCTATGTCATTATTGTATTTTACTTCAATAACTCTCTGAGTCCAGTTAATTCTGGCCATGTAAAGAACTGACTTTTGGAGACTGGAGAGAGCTTACAGCTCTTACAGAGGGCCCAGGTTGGTCCCCAGCACCCACAAGGTGGCTCACAACTGTCTAACTCCAGTTCTAACTATGGTGCACATCAAATCATACAGAGATACATACATATGCATGGATTATTTAAAAAATTAAATCTCTGTTCACACAAAACATAAACATACATTTCTTTGACATTTGTTTATGTTCATATGTTACTATTATATTGTTTTTTTGTGTTTTATTTTTAAGATATAAATGTGCTAATCTAATTTTTGAGCATCAATTCTTACTCTAGCAATTAAAATGTTTTAGTTGCATAGACTTAACAGTGATTTAGTTCTCTATATGTAAATTTGTTTTTCTGAGAATCAGGATGAGGTAATCACACTGTCATTTACTTAATAATGGGTTTTCATAAGGGTGATATTTAGAGAATGGCACCCCGTCTGGCTTGTTCCTGGGCAGCCACCATGTTCCCGCTGCTCCTCGGCTCTGACCAGGGCTCCAGTTAGCTAGATGCACAGGCCCTGGCACCCACAAGACGCCAGGGTGGGGGATGGCTCCGCCAATCCCCCACGCTGCATCCACAAAGCTCGGCTGAACCCCAGACAATGTCTGCCATCCTCCCAGTACCTGGTAGAAATGAGACTCTTAAAGCTTAATGATTATCTAAAGGATTTATATATTTAGAAATGCTCGATCAACAAGATGCCCACACAACTAGAGTTGTTACCAATATCTAACCTTTTGATAGAAGTTGCTACCCAGGACAGCCTTTGACCCATCTGTGGTTCTCCATGGCTGATAGCCTCCTTCCTCCCCTCCCCTTCCTCTCTTTCTCTCCCAGCTCCACCTTCTCTTCTACTGCCTAATACTGAGCTCCACTGAGAATTCAATGTAGCAGAATAAGTATCCTGCTACAGGTATTAAAAGTTTAGTTTTATTTTATTCTATTTTTTTTACCTGTGTCTATGTTTTCACCTATATGTGGGCAGATGTGTGTAGAGGCCTGAGGTTGACCTCTGGCTGTCATGCCTGCCTAGCATTTATGTGGGTTCTGATTATCCAGACTGTCAGCAAGTGTTCTGATCACTGAGTGTTCTCTCCCTCCGGGTGCCCTCTCCCCTTGTGATTATGTTGCAGAAGTTACCTATTAAGTATTAAAGCTCTTCCTTGCCTATGGATTGGTTCACTTTTTTTTTTTTTTCCTTTTTGCTAGGGATTGAGCCCAAGACTTCATTGCCCCAGTAGCAATATATAAACAGTATATTACATTTCAGTTTTATTATCTTCCTAGGTTTCTTCTGATCAGCCATTGCTAGAAGAAAAACGTAAAAGTGGGCCAAAAGGAGCATCTGAAGAAGAGGTGACCACAGTCTCAGAGTTCGTCTTCAATGACATCTTCATTGAAGTGGATGAACTAGAATAAAGCACTCTTCTGGGTTTCCCCTTCTTTTTACTATTTTCGTAATGAGTTTGAAATTTCCAATGACCCTGACTTTAACAAAGCAGTGTTTCAAAAAGCACCACTACCTGTTTTTATTTAGGTCAGTTTTGAATATTTATTGAGCTTCATTTGAAGCCCTTATAATCAGTGGGAAGCATTTCATTCTGATTGACCCTGCATTTTGGAAGTACCAAGCAGTTAAGACTGGTCTCGCTGACAGGCATGCAATGTGTTTACATTTGATGCACCCCGGGCTGAGGTCCGCTGGACTTGAGAGCTGTGTGCATACACATCTGTATAAATCATAGTGCTAACATACTGGGAGCTTGATTGTATTTAACATTTAGTGACCTTCTTTTATAAAGGTGGCTGTGTTTTGTTTCTGTGGGTTTTTTGTTTGTTTGTTTGTTTTGTTTTTTGTTTTTTTTTCTTTTTCTTGGATGATCAGTTGCCTGTAAGTATATGAAAGCAAATTGTGACACTCCACTTTGGTATGGCAGAGTTAAAACTTTTCTATTATCATCTATTTGACTGAAAAAAAATGTATTTTTCTAATTCATGGTGATGTAACATTAGTCCTGATTGAAGATCTAGTATTTAAACTTGCTATTTATAAAGATGGCACATCAAAGAGATTATTTATTTTTAAATTTTTTATTTAAAATATATCCCAATTTAATTATTTTCACTTATCAGATTTGGGTAAAGAAAGCATTAACAAATAATTTGTCTCTTTTTCCTCTTTACTTTAAAAGCTATTTTAAAATGTCATAATTAAAAATGTTTAGGTAGTATCGATGTTTTGAATATTTTTCTCATAGCATATTGAATTAGTACTGTGAATATTTTTTGCTTTTCTTACTGTAATCTCAGGATTTTCATTGGAAGAAAAAAATTAACATAAAAGACAAATTGTCCTATATAACTGAATCTTTTTTATACACACACACACACACCCTTAAAAAAAGTTTAGTGATAGCATTTCCCTTACTAAATTCTGTTCACAGTATATGTGGGCCTTTAACCACAGAACACGATTCTGATGTTAAAGCAGAAAATAAGACAGGAAGACTTGGCCAAGCCAGTGATGTCCTCATTATGAACTTGGGTGTTTTTAATTTTGAGTCTTGTGATTTATGTGTCTTGTTTCCCTAACAGTTTTTACCCTGGTTCAAATTAAACTCTTCAAAGAGCAAATGTATTCATTTTTATTATAAAACCTCATAGATTGATACGATTGATACGTTAGCTCCATAGTTAGAAGTTTTTCCACAAAACATTCTTTTGGAACTGTAGTCGGCGTGGTCCTGGTAGCAGCTGCTCGGCAGATGCTGAGTGGAGGAGCAAGGTTGGCAGGGCTTCGGCTTAGACCTCGCACGTGAGTTCTCTTTTTACCCCAGGGCTTCCGTGTTAAAGACTAGCCTTGCACTCTCTGTGTGTGAAGGTGTTCTTCAGCTTGTCTCCTCCACTCTGGGAGTACAGGAGCGCACCACCATGCCCACTTTTGTGCTGTGCTGGGAGTAGGAGCCCCAGCTTCCCACATGCTAGGCAAACACTCTACCACGTGAGTTTTCCCAGCCCTAGGCTGCAGTGGATAAGAATCCGAAGGTGCTGCTGTCTCTGTGTAGGAGCTATTTGCAGAATGTGCCTACAATTCAAAAACTCTGAGTGTATTATGAAATGAGCAATACTTCAGTTGGAAAATATTTTTATATCTATGTAATTTTCATATTGATAAAAATGGTGACCCCTTTTTTAAGTTTCTAACCAAAAGAGAAATCAATGAGTCTAGAGTGCTGATTCATTGAATTTATTGTGAACATGTTTCTTGTTCTGTGGCTTAGAGTAAAATGTATAGTTTAATGTCTGTTATAAAGGAAGATCTATACGTTAGATGGAAATTCTCAAAAGTATGCATTTATTTCATGTGATTAATTAATGTCACAAAATCATGGAGGTAATTCATATTGCTATTTCAATGGCTTTTTGTTTTAAAAATGTCATGCTCTATAAAGCTTTTTTTTTCAAGTGTTACTTGGGTAAGATCACCGAGACTAAACTATTATTTATCCCTGTGTAATATTTATTTTTTAACCTCTGTCTCATTCATCTGTAATAAACTGATTTTATGGAAGATGTAATTTATTGTATAAAGACTACAAGGGGCATTTGTTGTATAGAGAATCAAGTCAGTGAACAAACTGTCCTGTTGTCACAGCCTCAAACTGGTGTTGGAAAGAGAAACAATCAGTGTGCTTAGCTTTAAGGTGGAAGGTTTGTGATGGTGGAAAGATGTTGAAAGGAATTTGTTATAGAAGTCTTCAAGGAGACATGATGAAAGGGCTTTGCCTTCTCTTGACTGTTTTCCTCTGGTCAGTTCCATCTTAGCAGGTGGCCCAGCCATGGTTTAAAAGTCTAATTGTTGGTAAACAATTAAGGCAAGACATAGATGAAAATCTAAATATCCAGTGTTCACCGTATTATTCAAATGCAAGTGACCATGTATAATATCGTGCTTGAAGGCGTTTTTGACAAGGGAAGCAATATCTTATTTGTAAATTTTCTTGTTCTAAAGGAAGCAGTTATGTTCTGTAGATAAAAATTATGTAAATAAAAGTTATTTTATACCATTTTTGTTTTGTCCTTTTCAAACAACAAAGACATTAATTATATTAATGTTCAGTTAATTGGTTTCTGTTTTCAATTATCATCTATACTTCCTTATAAAAATATAGTATTGCCAGATATGGTGGCCCAAGCCTGTAATCCCTGAATCGACAGGCAGGAGGAGTGTGAATTTCGGACTAGTGAACCAGTTTCCAAAAAAGAAAAGGGAGGGGTAGGGAAAGGGGGAGGGAGGGAGGGAGGGAGGGAGGGAGGGAGGGAGTGGGGGAGAGAGAGAAAAGAGAAAAAACATGCATACTATAGCTGGAAGAATTCTTGATTCTTATGGAGGGTGGTTTATTTTTGAAGTTTTGTTTATTTTCATTCTTTAATGAATTTTTTATATATAACAACTCAAGATATTTTGCTCTTTCCTACAAATTAGCTTTGTTTTCTATATAAGGGAAGAAATTGGAGCTTTAGTCCCAGAGTTAATAAAAAACAGATTTTTGAAGTGTTTATTGGCAAATAATCAGTCACCCAAAAGTTTTTTTATTGAGAGAATTATCTGTGGAAACTCGGTCAAGCATGGCCATTTCTTCAGATACGTGTGTGTGTGTGTGTGTGTGTGTGTGTGTGTGTGTGTAGCTATACTGTTGTCTGATCACTTTAAGAAACAATGAAATAGAAAATTTTATTTCTTAGGAAGCTATCGTCATTAACTATATCATCCAGTATCTTACTGATGAAAACTTAGCTAGGTGTATGCAGTGCCTCTTGAGTTTGACGGCAGCCTGGATCCAAGATCCTGTCTGCTGATTAGTAGTCTAGGTTTGTTGTTGTTGTTATTTATTTTTGTCAATTTGGCACAAGCTGTGGTGGTTGTTCTCAACTGAGAAAATGCCCTGCAAAGATTGGCCTATAGACAAGTCTGTGGGGGCGTTTTCCTGATTAATTATTGCTGTAGAGGACAAACTGTTGTGTATGGTGCTTCACCTGGGTAGGTGAGCCTGAGTTATGGAAAAATGCAAGCTGAGCAAGCCAGTATACAGTGTTTCTCCATGGTCTCTGCTTCAGTTCCTACCTTGAGTTCCAGCTGACTTCCCTCAGTGATGGGCTGTGATTAAGACAAGCAAGCAAACTAGAACACTGTCTGAAAAATAAAACCAGGACAGGTGATTACTCAGTGCTTCAGGGCACTACTCTTGCAGAGAACCCAAGTCTGGTTCCCAGCACTCAGGCTGGCAAACTCACAACTTCAGCTCGAAGGGTTCTATGGCCTTTTTCTGGCCTTTGGGCAACTGTGCATACTTGTATACAGTGGCTCACGCATACACATAGTTAAAAGTATACTTTAAAACCCTAACGGCTCAATCCCAAGTATTCAACCCTACCTACAAACATGGGTAACATGACAACAGAGTCAGCAGTTTGCATTATATATTTATTCACACACATGTATTATTTAAAGAATGAGCCATGAATTTGAGAGGCAGATGGATAGGAGTGGAACTCTCAAGAGGGGTAGGAGGGAGGGTCAAAGGTAAACAGTTTTAATTAAGTGAAAAGTAAATGAAACATTTTTGGATACTTTTATATAGTCTAAGCTGCCTGCAAATGCACTGTGTAGCCCGGAATAACTTTGAACTGCGGAGGCTCTTAATTTACCTCTTGAGTGCTAGAGCTGCTAGGAAATCATTTTCTTTTAGCCTCAATACCAGGAATAAATGTTTCATTCAGTTCAAATGCTCTGCTTTGGTTTGTCTTCTTTTACATGGCTTGGATACGTGTGTGAATCTTTAAGTTGTCCACATTTACAAGACCTTATTTGGGGTCAGCTTGTAGCAAGGTAGAAGGCTTATGTCCTATTTTATATGATGAACTCATTTTGATTTGACTTAGGCCTGCGTTTCTCTTAGATTTTAAAAACCTTGCCATTTCTGGGGCTAGGGATGGGTAAGAGCATTTGGTGCCCATGCATGATGACCGGAGTTTGGGTCCAGCATCCACTTAAAAGCTGGGAATTGCTGCATGCCCCTGTTAATTCCAGGGCTGGGCAGGGGCGGAAGGATCACAGTTTTCTAGCTGCAAACTTAGCATGGTCTCAAAGGAATAAGGCAGAATGGCAGGACATCAGACATTCTCTGGCTTCTATGTGTGCTCCTGCACACACACCATACACATGTATGTATACACAGGAAGTGCCACTCCTTTCAAATAAGCACCGTTTAATATAGTAGGCATGTTTTTGTCTATTTTTTCTCTCTGTTGTGTGAACACACAATGGAGCCTAACACCTTTTGCATTCTAGGCAAGCATTCTACCACTTAGCTATCCTCTCAGCCCAACTACTATTTGTATGATAACAGTGTCTTCAAAATTCATGTTAAAAGCCGGAGGGATGGCTCAGTGTTTAAGAACACTGCCTCTGCTTCCAGAGGTCCTGAGTTCAATTCCCAGCAACCACATGGTGGCTCACAACCATCTGCAGTTGAGTCTGATGCCTTCTTCAGGTGTATCTAAAGAGAGCAATGGTGGATACATAAATTAATTTAAAAAAAGAAAAGAAAAATCAAAATTCACGTTAAAGCATTTTGTTTCAGACAATGTTTCATTCTGTTGTCCACGCTGGCCTCTAAATTTTTCACTTAGTAAGCTATGGACTCTTCCCTTAGTAAGCTACAGAAATTTTGACAAGTCTTCTATCAATTGGCTTCCCATAGTTTTCTATGGGCCAGGCTTCTTTCTTGAAGCTGTCAAGTAGGAGAGTTCATGGTCCCTAAGGCAGAAAGCCGCCCAAGACTGGTTCCTCTCTTAGTTATCTGAGTTCCTATCCAATCTGGCTTTTATTCGGGTGCTATTCACCCACACCACAGCACCTTTAAGTCTGAAACCACATTTCCTTCTAGGGCAAAGCCGACCCTCTCTCTAGCTTGTTCATCTTTCTGCTGTCCCTGACGCGTTTACTTTGTTCCTCTAAGCAAGCATGCTGCAGTAGCATGTAAGCGTTCAGTGTGTGAGTGGGAGAAACAAAACAAAACCACTAAGGCACTTCGCGTAGTGTTTTTTAATTCTTCTGGTGAGAAGATCCCAGTACTGATGTCTACAATCTATCACATTCTAAAAATGATCAGATGCGCTGAAGCTCTGCAGTGCATGGGCTAGAGGTGTGTGCATGCCTGTGACAAACGTTTCAGCAGGACAGCAGCCACTTACCAGACCGCTCTACTCAGCCCAGGGCTTCTGGGCTCGCGATGGAACCGGGACTCGCGCAGCTGCTCTTCTGTTCCTCATTGGCGCAGTCGAGAGGCGTGGCGCGCGGCGCCGACCAATTGGAGGTGTCCCGCGGTGGCACGTGCGCGGGGCTGACCCGGGAGCTGGTGGACCAGGGCTGGTGCTGCAAGGACTCTGGAGGAGCAGGACTCTGACGGGGCAGCCGCCGGAGCTGCAGAACCGAGTTGAAGGGCCGCTCTCTCTCTTGGGTGCTTGCCATCGCCATGTGGGGCGCAGTGAGGTCAGCTCTGCGGCCCTGCAGTCGGGCCGCTGTACCCCGGCAGCGCGCCTATCACGGGGACTCGGTGGCCCGACTGGGCACTCAGCCTGACTCGGGCTCCTCCACCTACCAGGTAGGTTGAGCGAGCGTCCTGGAGGCCTACTCGTCCTCCTGTCCCGGAGTCACCGGCGGCCGGAGGGTGGGCATGCTTGGATCTCTGCTGTTGTTTCCTCTGCAGCTTCAGGCATCATTTGGGGACCCAATAGGGTCCTGTGAAGTTTGCAGAAGGAAGTCGTTCCTATGAGATTTTAGTACACTTTTAGGACTGGCACTGGCATTTTGTGTGACTAAAATCAGTGGTTCTCAAAACTCCACAAAGCATTGTCGCTTGGGCAGTTTATAGATGCCGGAGCCCGGTTTGGTAACTTTGTAATCATGAAGTTGGGGTCACGTTTGCATGGCTAGTATATTCATTCCTTAGGGGTCTTGTGGCAGCCACCGTTAGGACCTATCTTAGCACGGTAGTGCTAGGCCATGTTTACAGGCTTCCATTTAGTAGTTATAGTAACAATAAATACACAACCCATAATATCTTTACATAGCTTTTCTTGGAATTGAGGGGCTTCCTTAGGCCAAAGAAGCAACTCATAATTTGTGAGATATCAAAACTAGAAAATTTAAATCTGTTCCATGGCTTCTAGGCATACACAGATAACATCTGGATTGTTCGTAGAAGCAGCAGTTATTTGCCGGGGAAGAGGTTAACTCAGAAACACTAAGTTGTTTGTGTGGTATTTTAAGTATTTGGCATGGATGTGTAGGAATGGAACTCATTTGGAGCTGGGGGATGATGCTAACTAGAAATCAGATAGCTGTGTGATAAGGGGTGTGTAAACCTTGAAAGGCTGAAAGCACATAAAGTTACAGATATGGGTGAGATGAATTAGGTTGGGAAAAGGTCTGGCAGGTTCAAGATGAAAGACCAAGGCTGGACTGAAAACTAGAGGATGTGGATACTCTTGCCCTTTAAAGTTAGCATAAAGCAGAAGCAGGTGGGTCTTTGTGATTTTGGGTCCCACTTGATCAACAAAGCTAGTTCCAGGACAGCCAAAGCTACAAAGTGAAAGCGCCTTAAAACAACCTACCACTACCACTGCAACAAAATGCAGTTACTATACACCAAGTGTACAAAGTAATAGGTTTCACTATGATATGTGCATACGCGACCCTCTTATCTCCTCTCCACTCGTTCGCTGTCTCCTCTTCTCTTTCCAAATAGTCCTTATACTTTCATGTCCCTAAATTGTATATATACTCTAGATTGTGCGTGTGAGAGGAAATGTGTCTGTTTCCCTGCCTCCCTAATGTGATGATCTCTAGATCCAACCATTTCCTTGAGCATAGCTATTTTACTATTTTTAGGGCTATCTTGTTTAGTTTTGCCAGTTTCACACACAAATACAATGTATCTTTTTGTTTTGAGACAGGGATTTTTTTTTTCCTGTGTAGCCCTGGCTATCCTGGAACTGGCTTTGTAGATCAGCTCTGTAGACCAAGCTGAACACAGCCGTCGCCTGCCTCTGCTTCTGTGGTTTAAGGCGTGTGTGCTACCACACCCAGCTGGTGTGTCTTAATGTTATCTATTCCCAGTTCCCCTTCCCAGTCTCCCTAGGCACTTCCCAATGTGTCCCTCCCTCCCACCTACCTACCCGTGTTCTTTTAATACCACCCCCCTTAAAAGCTCACTGAGTCCTATTGGTGCTACTTGCTAGACTGTTGACTGATCATTGGCTTGGTCTTGTGTGGGTCTTGTTCAGGTGGCCACAACTGCAGCGAGTTCATGAGCTCAATAGCTATGTCAGACCCAGAGGATAGCACTCCTCCCCAGCCTTTGGCTCTTCCAGTCTTTCTACTCCCTCTTACATGATGTTTCCTAAGCGTGTGTGTGTGTGTGTGTGTGTGTGTGTGTGTGTGATCTAAATGTGTCATTTTATGACTGAGCTTATTCGCAGTTGCTTATTCTCAGCACTTTGACAGTTATAAATCTCTCCATTAGCTACTATCCACTCCATAAAGAAGCTTCTCTGGCAGAGGATGGGAGCAGTACTAATACATGTGTATAACCCAATATTTAGAAGGCAGTTTGATAACACAGCCATTCGGCAGAACAGCAGTATTAGGATTCTCCCCTATAGCCCTTGACCTCCCAAGCCAAGGGCTTTGACCAGGCTAACAGTACCAGGCATGGATTCCAGTTTGTGGAATAGACGTCAATCTCCAACCAAAACATGGTGGCTATCACCTAACAGTCATGCCACCATTGCACTAGTGGGCATAGCTTAACGTAGGAGGTTGGTATTACAACATGCAGGGCCCAGCACTGAGTAAGACCATTGATTTCTTAAGTGACCTGCCTGTACAACACTTCTGGTACCATCAAAACTAACCACTGGGTCAGCACTAGCTAGATTTTCTATATTGTACAATCAGAGTGTTGGATATGGGTACATTAAACTTAGGATATTAAAGTATAACCTTGGCATAGTCTTGTACATACGGTTCCAGCAGTCAGGCGGCTGAGCTGGGAGTACCTCTTGAGCGTAGGAGTTTGAGGTCAGCCAAGGCAACATAGTGAGACCTTGTTTCAAAACTAAGTGGGAAGGTTAGAGAGAGATGGCTCAGTGGGTAAAGGCACTTGCCACTGAGCCTGTTGATCTGAGTTTCATATCGGAGATTCAGATGGTAGAAGGAGAGAACTGACCCCTGACAGTTGTCCTCTGACCTCCATGTGTATCCTGTGTCGAGCATGAGGTCCCCCCTAAGCCACATTTATATTTCATTCTGAAAACCACTCTTAAAATATTTAAGGGCATGATTCTGTGGACATGGAGGGAAGAGGCCAGATGTAAGCAGTGGTGGGAAGAAGTGAGTTTTCAGAGAATGGGTCAGAGTTCTGTGGGAGTTGGGAATTGAAGTTGGAGTGGAAGGAGAGGAATGAGTCATGGGGAATGTGGGAGTTTCTTACTCTAGGAAGTACAGTGAGGTAACGGTAATGCTCTTGGTACAGACTGAGACTGAGTTTGGTGGACGGGAGAGACGGTATGTCATGTTGAGTTTGTTTGAATCGTCTTTGTTATGTTGCACTTGGTGACAAACATCAGTCAGTCACAACAGCAGATACTGACTTCTTTCTCCCCTCACTGTTGATGACTGTGGATCAGCTGTTATGACTTATCATAGGGCAAAACTACGGCAGTTTAGTTTAATTACCTCAATTGACTTTATTTACTTGTGACTCTAATTAGAGACCGTTTCAATTTTTTGACTACCTTTGCATAGACTATTTTTCCTTCTTTTTCACTTAAAATGCCTGTGTGTCCTTAGATATAAAAATGAGTCATAAACAATGTAAATTGAGATACTTTGACATATTTTTTATATGTATGAGTGTTTGCCTGTGTGTATTTATATGCACTGTGTGCATATGCTTGGTGTCTGTGGAAGCCAAAAGAGGCGTTAGATTCCCTGGAACTGGAATTATAGTTGTGAGCCTCTATGTGGCTTCTGAGAATTGAATCACTGTCCTCTGAAAGAACAGCAAGTCCCCTTGACTACTGAGCCATCTCACTAGTTCCTTACTTTAAAAAAAATTTTTTTTTAATGTAGAGTCTTATAATATGGCCAAACTTGGCCTCAAAGTTTCCTTTCTTCCACCTTAGCTTTCTAAGTCCCAGTTATAGACAATATGCCATCACTCCCAGTTCTGAATCATATGTTTAAATTTTTACTTATTTTTGTTGTGTGGCTGATTTTTGTGAGAGGCAAGATCTTGATGTACTGCTCCCCAAACTGATCCTGTAGGCTCAAGCAATCCTCCTGCCTTAGTTGTCTTAGGAGCTGGAACTACGGGCTTCGCCCATCACACTTTGTGTAACAATGTATTTTGAATCGCTACAAATTCAACTGGTCTGCATAAAGCAACTCTAATGCTTTCCTTCTTCCTTTTAAAAATTTGTTTTAAGTGTGTGTGTTTTGCACGTGCATGTAAGAAAGTGGTGGCCAAAGAGTCCATTAGAGACCACTAGATGCCCTGGAACTGGAGTTACAGACTATTGTGATCCAGCATGTAGGTGGGAATTAAACCTAGCCCCTCTGCAAGAGCAACCTGTGCTCTTAACTGCTGAGCCAGCTCTCCAGTCTTGCCCTCATTTTTGAAGAACAATGTTCCTGAGTATAGAATTCTCTAACAGATTTATTAAGCCTTTCCTCCAATTCTTCCCATACCCTACCTCTAACTCCCTTTCAACTGTATGACTTCTTTTAAAATTATTGTTACATACACACACACACACACACACACACACACACACACACAGCCTGCCAAGTCCATATAGTGTTGGTGTTGCTTGTATGTGTTGGGCTGACTACTTAGGACTGGATAACCTCTCGGTTCATCTCTAGAGAAGGCTGTTTCTCCCTTAGTGCCCTCAGTTAGTTGTCTGTGGCTCCTCATTTAGGGGTTGACCCTTGTGAGGTTTTGCCTGTGTGTATTGGCATGTCAGCTGCTGTTGTCATTGTGTAGATCTTGTTTAGGGGACTGTATGGTTGAGATTTCGTGGGTGCAGCCTCTGTCATTGTTTGCACAGTACCTTTGCAGCACACGTCCTGGTCCTCTGACTCTTACGCTCTTTCTGCCCATCCCGCCAGCCTATCTTTTTGCAGCTTTTATCTCTGTCTGTAGTTTTTCTCACATTGTCCATACGTTTCTAATTCTCTTTACATCTGTCTTCCTGTTTTTCTTTGGCTCTTGAGCTATTTTATGGATAGTTCTTTTAAAGTATTTGTCTGATGAGTCTGATGGTTGTATTTCCTAGGGGACACTTTCTGCCACATTATTTCCTGTGGGGGCTGTCTTTGGGCACTTTTGTGGGTTTTATCGTTGACAGTTGCACATTGGACAGTTGGACAATTTGAAAGCATAGACATCTCTTCCATCTTTTCAGACTTTTCCTTGACTCCCTAAGTCTTTGGTCTGCTTTGTGTTTTGGGATGATCCCCTCAGGTCTTTTCCCAGTATGGATCTTACCTGGCCTTATATGTAACTTTTCAGCCCCTCTGGCTATACCATCTTCT